CCTCATGAGACATTTTCGACCACACAAATTTTACTTTCAGGTCAATTTCTTGCTGTATTGGGGGCCAAACGATATGATAGGCGACACAATAAGAGGAGCGCTCCCGGATTATAAGCTACCCGCGTTTTATGTCTTTTTGACTCATCTCTAATTTCGGAACGTGGTACTTGTTCAGCCTCAATCCACGGATACAAATAAACGGGTGGCCAGGCGAGACAAGGCAAATGGTTTGCTTCTTAGAAGGAGGTCGGGAGTTCGGGGCGGGAAAGCTTATGACTCCTAATCTTTAATAAGCCTCATATTAATCAGTCCTTGTCGTCACGGTTGAGTATGGTTGGAAGAAGTCTTTCACATGTTTTCCTACATTGCTCTTTCGTTGGTTATTTACGGGCTATGACTATCTCACTATCACAGTCACAGAGTCACAGTCACAATCAGTCAGGTGGATGTGTCTGTCATCCCACCATATCAAATTATCAATCGGCCGAAAGGCAAATGCGTCAAACTCCATTTGTGGTAGGAAGAAATGGCGGGCGGGTTCCACCGGTCCAACCGAAACGATGAAGCGAGGCCCAGATTGCGGGGTGATATACTAAACGAGGATATCCCGTGCTAAAGGTACTCGCTGATGTCACGTTGCCGTTGAGTCAGTGCTCATGGTGGCCATTAGCTTCGTTATCAAACGAGTTGGGATCGGAGTTGGACCGGAGTGTTTGTATTCATTCCGGACATTTTCAAGGGTTGCTTCGTAATTGCTTCGTGACCAGTACAGTGATCGATGGCAAGCTTCTGCTGAAGAAGGACGCGTAAATCGCTCCTTTCGTATACCTACCGATGTTCTGTGCAACCAGATTACCATCGTGTTAGTCCAGACACAAATAATACGCCGAGATGATTGCGGTTCGATCTGAACATGAAGGTGCTGTTCTCGGTGACTCGATGGGCATCCCGCTAGATCATCGTCGATATCGATGGAGTCAGATATCAACGAGTCTTGAGAATCAGTCATCCCAGCTCTTACATTGTATTGTGTGTTGGAACTCTTATTCACCTTGATATCACACATTTAAGCGTTGGTTTGGGGGCAAACGCGTGGACTATGACGAACATAATCTCAGCGGTAATGATAAGTGTCTAAGTTTGCGCACACGAGTTTGCCTGGAGCTCAAAATATATGGTAACACCAGCCAGAGCAGCGCAATTCACAGTCCCGCAATCGATTCCTCATTTTTAGCACTACTTAAAACTGGGTTTACAATAAATCGCCCCGGTTTTGATATGCTCGACATCTTCAACAGCCATTTGCCACGGGGTTTGATAATGGGCCATATCCCTTATCTAGTAGGCACATCGTAGTGCGAAGAAGTTTGTGACAATAATGACCATGAACTAGGTGGGTAGAAGATCCTACTGGTCACCATCGACTTCATCAACGGTCCAACGGCCGGTAAGTATTTCGCCAATATCATAGACCTAATAAAACCCAATATACTAGATGCGTATGTATGTATGTATCCAGGGACCAACGCACAAAAAGCCCATGCTTGTATTTTCTTTTCGATCATTGGGATTTGGGACAGATGAGCTAATAATATGCAAAGCATCATGTTACATTTCTCACAAAAAGGCTCATCTACAAAACCACCCAAACACCAGCCGGAGAGCTGACTGACATATTGCCATTTCCAATCGATTAGCTTGCGCAATACAATGATATATACTCGAGTAATATATAATATAATATGAAAGGTATAGTTCATGCTAGTTAGAGATCCTGGTTCCAACTTCCAAGCAAACGTGACTCTGAGGACTTGTTTTTGATATAATGATATCACAGTGGTCACACCATTGTAATATCTAAATTTTGAACCTACCCCGAGAATACACGACAGTATTAGAACGGTCTAGCTATCATTATTTATTTGTTTTCCCAGTATAACTTCATCGCATATACTCGTAGAATTTGCAGGTTGAAGGTTGAATATAACATAATTATCATCTAAAAATACATAGAAATGATACCACTTAAAACAGCTACATAGCGCGAATGAAATTCAAAATTCTTGAGCGCTATCTACTTGTAGATGTTTATACCGGTATTACTAGTAGTAACGCCATTTTCTACTGTAATATCTATCTACTCGAGTACATCTAACGCGCTTTCTTTGTTTGTTTGTTTTTTGTTTTGTTTTTTTAAAATTTGTGCTTATTCAAGAACTGTTTAATTAATCTAGTGCTGAAGGGGTTCCGTGATGACGAGGCTGGAGGCTGGAGTTAGGAGTGGGTTTTGAGTTTTAAGTTTTGAGTCATGGTGGGTTGGGTTGGGCTGGGCTGGGCTGAATGGATATGAGTCATTTTTACTCATGGTGTGTTATTTCGCTGCGCTGCGCTGCGCTGCGATGTTGTGCTGAGGTTTATACTCGAGTATTTACTGTGAGTGGTCGTCATTTTGTTCTTGCGGCTGGATGGGGTGATTTTTATTGTTGTTGGGGTTATATGGATGGATGGGTGTATTCTCCATATATATATAGATGCTATTGAATGGACGAGCGCTTTTGAGGTGGGTGGTACATTGAGATTTAGATTTAGATTTAATGGCGATATGGGAATGAGTAGGCTGCGCAACGGGTACCCGCGGGGCGGATTATTGGCCTCGCGGGTCCCCCATTTGCGGGGCGGATAATTTTGAAAGCTCAACGGGTCTCCCGCGGGTCTAAAATATCATCAACGGGTCCCCCGCGGCGCGGAGTATCTGCGAGTCCCCACGGGTAGCGGAGTATTTCTGCGCAGCCTAGGAATGAGTGATTGCAAATTTGCAATGATGGATGGGCATGACGGAGAGGATGGGGATGATGAGGTTGCGAGGATAGCTGTGGGTGGGGAGAGTAGGGCTTCGGAAGGGGTGGGGAATAGGTAGGTATGAAAGATAGAGTGGATTTGAACAAGTGAATTCAAGATCAAGTCGGATGAAAATGGTGAAATCAAGTCGAATCGCAACTTGCAAGGCGATATATATCGCTGATATCGCTGATGACGTCAAGATTCATCTACATGTATAGCACATGTATAGTCTTAGGTGCAGATATCGCAATTTGAGGGGGACCTGGTGAATATTTCTGTTTTATACTGTCTTGTTGCTCTTGTTAATGTTGCTTCTTATTTTGTTGGAAATTTGAATTCTTGTAACCCCAAACAATCCCATTCACATCCTCACTTTCAGATCCTCAATACATACATATATACATATATACATACCTACACACATCATACACATATATAAAACTACAGAATTTTTTTTAAAAACCCATCTATTATCTATTGCATGCATCCATCTCTCTCTCTTCTTCCAAAAGAAAAACTTCATACTTATTTATCTCTCAAGTTCTCAACCCATATCAATACCCCCTCATTCACTCACTCACTCACCACTCACAACCCTGTCTAAAAGCCTCTCTCAAACATCTTTCTCTCCAATCCTGTGTTTCTCTCGCCTCGCGCCGATTGGGTTCATTCCACCACCATACAACCCAGATGCTGAAGAGGAGATTGCAGAGGAAAGAGATGAATGGGAGGAGGAGGATTATGAGTGAGATTTTCTTTTTTGGGGGGGCGGGGGGTTTGAGCGGGTTAATGGGATTAATGGGTCTAGTTTGGGGGGTTTGTATGTGTAGGATTGGGGATTGGAGTTGGGGCTGGGGTTGTTGGAGAAATCGAGGGAGTGGGATGGAATTGTGTTTCTTATATAAATAAGCGAAACTGGCATTGTTTGGTTTTTGGTTTTTGGATTTTGCAGAACAATTGATAATGGATACCCAATTTTCTTTGTTGGGGAATATACAGATACAAGGATTTTTTGTTCATTTTTCTTTGTCTTTGTGAACACAGATGCTATGTTGTTTGAATGGAAAGAAAATTGTGTTGATTGTTCTATTTTGATGTGTTTTGAGTTTTGAGTGAAGATCTCCGTGTTCTCTAGTTATGTGGTTGTGTTTATATGTTGTATTTTATTAGGTTTTAATTATAGAGATAATTGTGATATCTTGTATTCGGGTTGTTTGTATTGATGTTATTGTCGACTTGGGTACTAGGTAATTTGCCCATTATTGTGTTGTCTGATTCTTTTTACTTTAGGAGTCCCTTTTGTGGTGGAGTACTAGGTGGAGGATGATCCTGCTGAAATATTACTCCTTGTGCATATTTACTTTGATAAAGTCAGGTCGGGGCTCACTGAATACTCTGGTTACTGATGTTAAAGTTGGGTTTTGGTAAGAAGAGAAGAAGAGAATTGAAAGAGGGTTAAAAGGAGTAGATATAAGAATGTGATAAAAATAGTGTGATGTGAATGAGTATTCTTGTCAAGCGACTCATGCCAGAATCGGGCCTGTGGCTGTTCAAGTTATCTGGCCATTGATTTGTATCATCTCAGATATCCTACTACTAACATCTTACTTTGGTCATTGCTGGGAACTTATGTCTGTATGGAGCTTATGGTTCAACTAATGTGATCGAATTATAAGTAATATAAACATCTCCTGCCATCACTGGTGATTTTGAAGACAGACTTCGCTATATGCTCTTTGTTAAGTCTTAGTTCTTTCGTGATATATTGATTATAGTATGAAATGATGTTTTTGAATTGCCTTTTGTGTGTGGTTAATGGTGTTGACACAGGTGGAGAAGTGAATATATTAAGTTCGGTAAAACTTTGGATGTTTCCCCTGAGACTCGCTTCGACGAGTTCTCACCACCCCCCTTAATAATAATCAATAATCTATTCTGTGAACTGTCGAGGTCATACCGATGAAGAGAAAAGTTGTTTTTTTCTCCGGCCAGTTTTTTCCCTATAAATTTACACACTTTTTCCTTTCATTACAACTTCAGCAAACATTATACAGAAAATTTCGTACGCAAACCTCTTGTACCATTACGAATTCCCTTTGCTTTTACTTAAAAAGCGCATCATCTGTATTTACAATTGCTTAAGAAATCAATTCATCACCATGGGTTGTTGCAAGGGCTCCAAATCCGACACTCCTCCCTCTCCAATTCTGTCACCAAGACCGAGTCGGGCTGCTACTACTGGCAATGCAGCAGCAGTAAATGCACCAATCTGCCACCTACCATCGACCTTCTCCCTCTTCAATCCACCACCACCAATGGGAACAGCAGCCACTTCCCATGGCCCGCCTCCCCACCTCCCTCGTCAACTTGAGTCTCGCGGTAGACGGCTCTCCGAGGTCTCAGCCATGAGCATACCAATGGCTACCAATTCCGCCGCATCGTCTGTCTCTGCGCTCTCCACCACCTCCAGCCACCCCACCTCAACCACCTCAACCACCACAGCCACCAATATTCGGGCTCAAGGCCCTGAAACCCCTTCTCGACTCGCTGGCCCAAGCCCCAGCTTCATGGCAACATATGAAGCCACCCAACGCCTCGAAGAGGCTCAGCAAGCCAATGCGTTTAACCAAGGTTATCTTGGTGGTATGGAGATTGTGGGGACCATGACTCCGCAGTCGAGTGGTGGGAATGATGTCGGTGGGGTTAGACGTGGGAACGGGCAGAATAGACGTAGGGAGAATAGGCGGGCGATTTATGGGGTTGGGGAGATCAATATGAGAGAGAAATGAGAGGGGACGAGAGGGTATGGTGGATATGTATTGGTTGGAGTCGTTTTTTCTTGCTTTTGCGGGCTTTGGGGAGTTTATAGAGGTGTATATTAGATGATAGTAGTAGATTAATGAAATATTTGAGACATTTTTTGTGTGTTGTCTCTTACATCTGAGTATAGATATTCAAATCTCATTCTCTGGATATGTATTCGTAAGCAATCTCTCTCGAATACTGAATAATATGAAGTGTAATGTCATATGACTTGAGGATTCGTATGTATTCATTCATATATAACAATTCTATACTCTAGAATCTCTAAGCTCATTCTCTAGTATTTATATATCTTAACTTCTCATGTTCAGATTAAATGATCAGGATATGAGATTACTATTCAATCATTTATATTACATATCTTAATATACAAAATCTATATTCTAGAGCTCTCAATTATATTTTGATATATCTATATATCTTCATGTCTTTCCAGACAATGTAGTCTGAAACATTAGATCACCTTTCTCTTCAATCTTTACTACTCATCTAAGTACATCCAATCTATATTCTTAGAATTTAGATCATTACTCACTCATTTATCAACACTCATTCAAATACACTGAATATATACCCCAAAGCATCACATGGATATTTCAACATTTAAGCACTTCCGCACCTCATCTTTGAATGGTATAAACTAGAATATCAGATCATTATTCAATCATCCATTAACATCTATCCGAATATACTAAATTGTATACACTATAACATTATACCAGCACTCAAAAATTCATACACTCCCATCTCTCCATTGAACAATACATTCCAGCTCACCCTATTTCTAAACTTACTTCTAAACATTCTTTTCCAGATATCAGACTATATACTCTAAATTATCAACATCCTGATATACACCTGATAGAGATCAAAAGATGTCAAGTATATAGTCCAATATTATTCATCCAAAGATCATCTCATACTCCCAAACTATCAGAGAATATTAAGAGTGTCGTCGCCAGTGAATTTATTTATACATACGTATACACTGGCAGAGTTGTGGGACTTGCGATTGATGCAACTAGTAATATGATGGTACTATTGTCTAATAGAGCCCCCACCCTATTCATAGAATCTCTAATGCTTTAGGTGTGGCATTGAAGTCACGTAAAGATAAAGTCCTTGAAAGGGTTTACTCGAGTAGTTTAATGCACTAAACTTTTTCAAGGATTTGATGATATATTGTAATCTAGAGTCAAGTGATAATCCAATCAATAAACTACGAGCTCACATAAACACCCCGTCTAGCGACCACACCTAGGTTGTAAGAGGGTCCTTAGAAGGACCTTCCTATGGTAAGAATGCAATTGACGAGGGTCTATAATGAAATAGACTGCTACTAGCTTTAAAGATTATACTGAGGCCAATCTAGAGAACTGACGAATCCATTCAATCCCATGAACATACCCCAAATAAAGGAACCTTCCTCCAGTGGTTTCGATATAACACTGAAGTCACGTACTGGATTTGGTTGCCTTTGGGTTTAGTATAGGCTTAGTGTATTGGTATTAGAGCAACCAAATACTCTAATCTCTAAGTGAAAACATATATTTCTAGGGGTCAATGCTACAAAATTTCATTTCTTATACTCTGAATATAGTGTATCTAAGTCTCCAGTCTAGAGAGTAGCAGAATCGATACTGTGATCATCTACTAGAAGGCTGCTGTCCTAGCTATAAATCCTTATCTAGTATTCACAGTCAAACTGTAAGAGATTCTCTCAAGGGCCCTCTTAATATAACAAGATTGTAATATTAATGAGGCTATTCGTATTTAATGATTCCGTAATCAAAAAATCATTAAATACGAATTGAACAAATCAATCACTCCTCTACCGACTAATATATTTATTGAATCTTGGTTTTAAAAAAAGCTTATTATATATCTCAACATTAAATGTTTATTTGACGTAAAATTCTTTTCAAAGTATATGGTTTGAATAGAGAAATGCTGATATATTTTGATGAATGTATCTTATATCTGTCATGACTAAGCAACCATGTGTACGAGTTAAGTCTGGCAGGCGGTTTCGTATTCGGTCGTATTCGTTTAAAAAGTCTGGGGGATTAAAGCGGGCCAGTTGCGGGAAGTCTGAACGAACCACTCAAAGGGAGGAACAGACAAGCAGTTAAGATGAGATAGAATTCCATCAACATTTTCTTTTCATTCTTTCTATTCATCTATGCTTCAATTTCTGAAATTTCAGTGAATAATATTTGTTATTTTCCTTTCCTATTCCTCCTATATATCAATTTTTCATTCGCCGGATTTAAAGAGCTAGCGCATTATAATCTCACCTTGATTGAGTCAGAACGCCAAATTTGACCCGCTCGTCAGAATCTTGACGAAGGAGGAGCTACTTCTAGGCATCGACAACAACGGGAAGAAAACACACCGCCTGAATTAAGATTATTAGTCTCTCATTTGACTCATTTGACTCATTTCGATTCATCTCAAATGTTTAATAAATTCTTCAGATTTTAAGCTCCTGTTTTCATGATATCGATATATCCCTTCTTTGTTCTTTACTTCTTTACTTCTTTACTTCTTGGCAACTTGAACAGTCACCTTGAAAAACGCTTGTGACACCTGATTTACATACTCGAGTAGTGTCAACATGGATGAACAGAAAATCAATGCTGATATCTCATCGACACAGAGTGATGGAGATGCAGCGAAAAAGAGTAATGAGGAGGTTACTGATAAGTATTCGAGCAAGGCACAGAACAAAACATCATTCAAAGATTTTTTGGTATGAAATCATCAAGCCACCTTCGATGGCCAGACAAAACTAACAAATTTGATAGAGAATCTTTTCATACTCGACTTTGGGTGATAAATTCATTCTGGTAATTGCCTGCATCGCACAAATCGGGACGGGAGTCGTATGTTTTGTATATTCTCTGCTTGAGGTTGTTTGACTGATTTTTGATAGACTTTACCACTGATGAACATTGTCTTTGGTAAATATTTGCCCTGTCAGCTTCGGAGCTAAGAATTATACACTAATGTTCATGATAGGCAAAGTAGTTGGCAACTTTTCAGACTACTTCATAGTTGGCTCTACTACCACCAAGGCCGAATTCACCAATTCTATCAACAAACTTACGTTCGTGGACCAATTTTCATTTTTAACTTATATCTATCCAACATCCTTTCCGGATCAGTGCCTTAAATTCCCTCAAGCTTGGGGTGCCGTAAATCACCAATCCAGTATGGCACTGCTTCCAGAAGGGGTCATGTGCTCTGGGTTTTCAACAGTCTAGACTGCAATATATTTTGCAAATCGGAAGCTCAATGTCCTACATACATTTGACGTATTCAACGGTTTCAAAAGTTTCATATGGTTTCATGGTACCAAATGAACTCGGTTTGTAAAGGGGATTCAATAGTCAAGAACCCTTTATGGTCGGGTTGCAGTCCGGACTGTTGGAAGCCCCAAACTTGCTCTCAAGATAGCCATATTTATGGGGTATTGAAAAGCTAGTCGGCGGCGCAAAATGACTAGATGTATACTGAACTGACTGTTTGAAGGTTGTTTGTTCTTTACCTGTTCATCGCAAGATGGACCCTAAGTTACATCTCGATGTTCACGTTTCGCCTAGTTGGCCTTCGAATTTCGGCCAAGTTGCGTCTCAATTACTTGAATGCGTTATTCAGCTTACCCGTTGGGGTTCTCGATACTCTACCGAGTGGACAAGCTTCAAATACAATCACAACCACCGCAAACATATTGCAAGTTGGCATTTCGGAAAAACTGGGGACCATTTTACAGTATTCGGCGTTGCTGATAACAGCAGTCATTATTGCGTTCACTTACAGCTGGGCATTGACTTTGGTAACCAGCTCAGTTCTTGTATTCATCGCATTAGTCTATGGTGAGCATCTTATACTCTTCCTTACCACGACCCCTTCTGTCCGCCATTTCTTCTCCTTTTACAGTACTGACTAATCGATGGTAATAGGAAGCGTTGTTCCAATTGTTATGAAGATGACAAAGGATGTCGAGCATGCCGATGAGAAAGCCTCTGGAATTGCCGGTGAAGTTCTTGGTTCAATACGAATGATTGTAGCGTGTGGTGCCGAGAATCGGATTGCGAAGAAATATGCTGGATGGGTTGAAGAATCTCGAAGACGGACAATAAAAATGAGTCCTTGGATTGGTGTCCAATTCGCACCACGTATGTAACATCAATGATCATTACCCTCGTTCATATACTAACACCAAATCAGTCATGTTTGCCATCTATGCGTAAGTTTCTCAAGCTTTCGAGTATGAATACTGGTTGACAAATGCAGAACCATGGCATTGTGTTTTTGGTTTGGCTGTAAGCATCATTAGTTCTTATTGATTTCACACTCTCTAATCTGAATTCATGCTCCATGTTCCATCCTTCCCATCATCTTCATAATGCAGCTCCAATTACTCATTTTAATACGGAAATATTCCTTGATAGGCAGTTACTGACTCCTCGATGTTATAGTCAAACTATTTTCTAAAGGACATATCGAGAATATCGGAACGATTCTAATCGTATTGATGTCCGTGATGATGACCGCGATGGCAGTGAGTCAAACGGCTGCACCAATCATCGCAGCTGGTAGTGCGGCGAGCGCAGCCACGGACGTTTTCGCCATAATTGACACGCCTAGACCTGATACCAGTGGCTTGAAAGAGCCCAATGTGTCAGCTCGCAAGGATATCACTTTGGACTCCGTCACTTTTGCCTACCCGAGCAGACCTCATGTTAAAGTTCTCGACAACTTATCTATGAGATTTGAATCTGGTAAGATTACAGCTATTGTGGGTGCATCTGGTTCAGGCAAAAGCACAATAATGGGTAAGTGTATTTTTCTTGTTTTCTAGACCAGCTTTTGTTGTTTGTTGTTTACGTGATATTATTTTGAGGATGAGTGTTTACTGACTCCCGGATGTTGCAGGCCTTTTGGAAAGATGGTACAATCTTGAAGAGCAACGAATAGTGATTCCTCCAAGCGCGATGAAAGATGAGAAGAAGGACACGAAAGAAGAAGAAAGGCCAAAGACCCCTGAAGAATACGATGAGAAACAGGATCCAGTTGCTCTATCTGGTATCATATCATGTGGAAACCACGAATTAAAATCTCTCGACCTCAAATGGTGGCGAACACAGATAGGTCTTGTGCAACAAGAACCATTCATATTCAACGATACGATAGCCAAGAACGTTGAATATGGCTTAATTGGTTCAGAGTGGGAACGTGAAGATGCCGAAATGAAAAGGAAGCTTGTTGTGGAGGCTTGTAAAGAAGCCTTTGCTGATGAGTACATCACTAAATTGCCCATGGGATATGATACTCAAGTTGGTGATGCCGGTATTAAGTTGAGTGGTGGACAGAGACAACGACTTGCTATCGCTAGGAGTATCATAAAGCGACCGAAGATTTTGATTTTGGACGAGGCCACGAGCGCAATTGACGTAAGAGGAGAGCAAATCGTCCAGGCAGCGTTAGACAAAGTGAGTGAGGGTAGAACAACCATCACAATAGCTCACAGACTATCAACGATCAAAAAGGCCGACAAAATTGTGGTTTTAAAGAAGGGAAAGCTTGTCGAGGAAGGAACGCATGAAGGATTGCTTTCTAACCCGGATGGCGCCTACAGTGCTCTCGTAAATGCTCAACAATTGTCCCTGGGAGATGTTTATCAAGACGAATCTAACCTGGTTGAGAGAATGGATCCCTTAATACGCGAAATGAGTGTAGTGGAAAAGAAAAAAGAAGATACAGAAGCAGTGGCATACCAACCTAAGGGTATCTCCACCAGCTTTGGACTGTTTTTGTATGAGCAACGCTTCCGATGGCGTTGGTACTTATTGCTCGTGATAGGTGCTATAGCTGCCGGCGGCAGCTATCCGATCCAAGCCTATCTATTTGCCCAAATCATCTCGGTATTTTCATACACCGGAGCGAAACTCAAGTCTGCTACCGAGCACTACGCATTAATGTTTTTCATTCTAGGCTTGGGAACAGGAGCGGCTTGGTTCATCATGGGCTATTCCTCGACTATTATATCTGGCCACATCACTGCCACTTACCGCCAAGAATATTTCGAGAGTATTTTGAGGAAGCCGATTGCCTTTTTCGACGCTGAGGAGAACTCTAGTGGTGAACTTACAGGTCGTGTTGCCAACGATCCGACGCAGCTTCAACAACTGCTTGGCATCAATATGGCCATGGTATTCTCGGCCTTTTGTAACATCACTGGTTGTATCATCATTGCATTTGTTTTTGGCTGGAAGCTTACTTGCGTGGTGGCTTTTGTCGCCCTACCTCTGTTAATATGTGGCAGCTTTTATCGTATCCGGTATGAGATTCAGTTTGAAAAGATGAACCAAGCAGTCTTTGCCGAGAGCTCCAAATTTGCGGCCGAATCAATATCCGCGTTTCGAACAGTTACTTCTTTGACTTTGGAGGATATGATATGTAATCGTTACGACGAACTGTTGAAGTGGCATGTGAAAGCCCATGCTAAGAAGAGTAGATACTCATCGATTGTATTTGCTGCTAGCGATAGTATGGGATTGGCTTGTATGGCTTTGGCATTTGTGAGTACATCTTCTCCAGTGTATCAAATGGAGCTACGCTAATTGCTTCTCAGTGGTATGGCGGTACGCTTCTCGCTTCGAGAACATATGGACCTGTTAACTTCTTTGTGGTTTATATTGCTATAATAAATGGGGCTGAAAGCGCTGGGAGCCTCTTGAGTTTTGGTCCTAGTCAGTACTCCGATGATAATATAATCCCCTTCCCCGAGTTCTGTGTTACTGATAGCATGATAGATATGGCACAAGCATCAGCAGCAGCGAACCGGATATTGAGCTTTAGAGTACCGACAGGAGTAGTGGGAGATCCAGCATCAAATATCCAAGATACAGAGGGCGGGGTCAAGATCGAATTGAAAGATATCTGGTTCAAGTATCCTACCCGTGATGTTCCGATATTTACTGGTCTAAATATTACTGTAAGTTAAAAGCTATGTCGTAGGTCGTTGACGAGGATTCTGACCATGATAGATTGAAAAGGGCCAATTTGCTGCTTTAGTTGGACCTTCAGGTTGTGGAAAAACGTCGATTGGTAATATATTGAACTTCCCCTCTGACCATCTGGAGATAATATACTAAGACTTCAATAGTCAGTCTGCTTGAAAGATTCTACGATGTTCAGAAGGGTAAGATAATCTGCAACGGCACCGATATCTCCGAACTTGATGTTCATGGATACCGGAAAATCATCTCGCTCGTAGCACAGGAACCTACTTTATATGAAGGTACTATCAAAGAGAACATCTATTTGGGTGTCGATGAGTCGACACCAGAAGCAACCCTCCACCAAGTCTGCCGTGATGCTGAAATTCACGACTTTATCATGTCTCTCCCCGATGGCTACAACACCAATGTCGGTATCAAAGGAGTTGCTCTGTCAGGAGGACAGAAACAACGAATATCGATAGCTCGTGCGCTCATTCGTGATCCCAAGATTCTCCTTCTTGATGAAGCGACTTCGAGTCTAGACTCCGAGAGCGAGAAACTTGTACAAGCAGCTTTTGAAAGAGCGGCAACAGGTAGAACCATGGTTGTTGTAGCCCATCGGCTGGCCACGGTGCAAAACGCTGATGTCATTTTCGTTCTGGGTGAAGGTAGAGTGTTGGAAGTGGGAGATCATGTGGCGTTATTGAGGAGAAAAGGCGTTTATTATCAAATGGTAAGTGATCAAAGCTTCTATCTTCATGACATCCAGTCCAAGAATTATCATCAACTCATCATACTTACGTCTACTAGTGTCAATCCCAAGCACTCGACCGCTAGACGAGCAAGAACACAGGGAGTAAGATATCAATTCTCAAATATACGAATTGGACAAGGATCAATAAACTCCACTTAAATCCTGTACGATCAAGATGTGTAATCTAGAATCTCTCACATATTCAACCTATGAGCTGGCATTTTGAGCTCGGCAATGTTGCAGTGCATATCTTGTGCATCTTGTGCATAAACTGACACGTATATTGTAGATCATACCTAATTCAAGCTTTCTCATACATTATGTTTTGAAGGGTTTTTGCAGTTGAATTAAAGATATTTAAATTGGCTGGCTCTTGGTTAAGAGGTCATGGCAAATTTTAAGGACAGATACTATGGCAGACCGGCTTTAAATTTCGACCCGCATTATCCACTATTCTTTTGTATGATATGTACCGTGCACTTACTTACTTTACTGCACAAGGGAGGAGCTTTGGGATGGGTGGGGAGGAAAACAGAGGTGATTGCCACATTTGGTTAATGATAACATCACTGGCGGCGGGAAGAAATAACGGGTCGGATTGGTTTAATTCATTGGGGAAGAGAGATTAATAAGATGGTATGGTATGGTATGGTATGTTGTTCAGCTTGAAATGGGAACAATGTGATTCAATATCTTTTAAGCAAAAAAAGCAAGTTCATCATTCTTCAAACCTTCAACCCAATCATCAAGCAGTATTTCTTATGTAAGGCGGAAAATTGATGAGAAAGGCTTGCTCTTGCTCTTCGATATTCACCGCTCTCTGTGGGGGCCCTTGAAGGGCAATCAATCCACTGACAACGCTGTACGGAGGATAGATGATATAGAGACACACCCACCATCTCAAACAGACTAGTACTACTAGTAGTAGTAGTACTAGACTGGACTACTGGTAGGGCTTTACGAATTCTATCGTGAAGTTGTTCTTTAACTTTGTTCTTCTCTCTAGAGTCTATACTAATAACTTACCCTTACCCTTACCCTTACCCTTACGAACTTCCATGATTCTGTTTCGTATTATTACAGTATTGGTATTTATAACAATCTTTTCTTTTTCACGTTGACTTGACAACCACGAATCTAATTGAACTCCTCTCCTCGTATCGTATCAAGACTTCGAAACTCAAAACTCAAAACTCAGCTGAACAAAAAAATCATCAAGGAGATCAACATTACCTGTGGCGTTCAATCAAGGGTCACCCAGTGGCACATGAAACGGATGAACCACTAAACATCACTAAACGTCAATTAGAATCAATTCAAGATTTCGCTTGCTTCCTGATTGATTCGCTTTGGCGCTTTTTCTCCAGCCTCTTTAATTAAACTTACACTTGGGCCTTGTCTACCACAACTTCACCACGGCTACTAGCTAAACAAACGCAATCTCTAAATTTTATCTAGAGGAGCCAGATCTTGAACTATCTACAAGCTATTATCTGCGTCCCGGTCCGCTCCTTAATGAAACTCAATTATTTAAAGCATCAAAACATATAAATCAACTATTACGAATCGCGAAACACAGCAAGATAATTGATTACACACGCGCATAAGATATAACGACAATTCGAATTGAATAGGTTATTTGCGAAACTGTATGATATGATATGATATGACCACGAATAAATACGAAACGCGGAGCTGAAGTTGAGAAGAAGAAGTCCCTACCTAAGGGTACGGAATAATGGCCGAGAATCGCGATCGATATGGTATGGGAGGCGATCCATCAATTGCGCCGAGAGGAAATGGAAATGGTAGTGGGAATGGTAATGGAGGACGAGGATATAATGGACGCGCGCCTCCAAATTTAGGATTTGGTAGAGGGGAGAGCTTGATTCCGGGTCGCGGACGAAATGATGAGAGATTTGATTCTAGGCCCCCAAATACGCCCATGACACCTTACACACCTTATACACCAGTAACTATGGGATATGATGGCGGGGAGAGCTCTATTTCAGCCGGCACACCGAGACAAGATCGGTATTATGGCGAGGAGAGTGCGCTCGGGGGGCGTCCAGCAGTAACACCGGGAACTGCAGGATATGATGGTGGAGAAAGTTCCTTTAATGTTGGCACACCACGGACCGAACGATACGATGGCCGGGAAAGTTATATCGAAGGGCGCACTCCCAGGACAGGAAGATACGAGGCTGCTGAGAGCATCATGTCTATTGACACGCCGCGAACTGAGCGATTCGACCCTGGCATAGAAAGTTCTATCGCGCACCCGGACACGCCACGTACCGCTCATTATGATACCACGGCAACCACCATGTCGATGGACCCATCACGAACAGGACCATATGATAAAGATAATACAATCACGGTAGCAGAATATTATGACCCGGAACGAGCGCGAGAACACGAACGACAAATGATGGAACGCGAGAAACTCGAAAGGGAACAAGGAATGCGCCGACCTTCAGGAATGGAATACGGTCCGCCATCTGCACAATATTTGAGTACATCTGGATCATCTACCTCTTCATACCTCGATATTTCTCGCAATTTTCCCACAATAGGGTTTGGTTTTAAGTCCTTCTTCTCGACCCCATCCGAAAAGTCTGATTCGAAGAGGAAGAAGGAGAAGAAGAAGAAAAGTAAGAAGTTGACGAAACATAATTCCTCATCAAGTTCCTCTTTGAATGAAGATTTAGCTTTTGGAACGGGATTTTTGAGATACAGAAGAAAGAGGAGCGTGAGAGCCAGAGACGGAAGGGACAGACAATGGGAAACTGTAGGATATAAGAGTAGCAAGGAAAATTTGAAAGATACTCGATCTGCCATTAGCGAGAGACCTACGAGCGCGAGACGACCAACTACCGATGCTGAAATTTTGGCTGTAGGTGCAGGACTAGCTAAACTTGCAAGAGACCAGAACAAAAAGGACCTCAAGAATGCTAAGAATGGGCGCGATGTTCCCGAGACTGTCATTTCCTCCAGTCGAGGAGATGATCGTGGCCTCCCACCTTCCAGAATCATTCCATATGAGACTGATCCTAATGATGATGAAAATTGGGAATCTGCCTCTGATGGCGAATCAGACTCAAGTGTTGATTCTGGTTTGGCGTTTGGAAGTAGTGGCCATGTAGGCAAGAGTCACGTCGGCTTTTTCGGACGTAAGAAAATGCATGAACCAAAGAGTCGAAAGAGTAGCGTGGTCGATCCAAGACTTCTTGGGCCAGAAAATTCCCTTAATGGATATCTATCAGATAGGCCTGTTGGTTTTGAAGACGTACGCTGGGAGTCGGGTAGTGATTTTGGTCAACATACTTACACACCTTATCATCACGAAGATAGGCATGTGAGCGATGTATATGTACATGAAAAAGACAGGATGGATAGGACCCAAAGTGTTGCAAGTGACTCTCAGGCCTCTCTTCAACAAGTCTTTCCAGTTCCTACTAATGATCATTTCCGATTTGAGGCAGCACGAGTTTCTTCATCGGAATACAAGGCTCCTAGGCCAGCACCAGTTGTCATTCAGCAACCTCAACCCATCACTCCAGTTTCTCAGAGCGTTTACCATGAACCTAATTATGTTCGCTCCGAATCTGGAGGCATTTTGAAGAGCTCTTCCGGTAGATCTAAATCTTTGGCTGGCGTGGCGTTGGCTGGAGTGGCCGCTGTAGGAGCTGTGATTGCGTCCAATCGTCGAGACGAGAATGAGTACACTCGTGATGATGACAAAAGGGATCACCGGAGCTATAGTGAAAGCGCTGTCAGTCGACGAGATAAAGATCCGAAAGAAAAACGTGACGATAATGATCAATACTCTGTTGCTGACCGTAGCATTACCAAACCTCGAGAGGAAGACAGGAGAGACGGCCGTAGAGCTATCGAGAGTATGGTCAGTCAACGGGATGATGACCGAAAAGAACAACGTCGCGATGAGGATCAATACTCAATCGCTGATAGCAGTATTTCCAAACCTCGAGATGATGATCGGAAAGAGCAACATCGTGATTATGACCAATCTTCTATTGCTGATAGTAACCTCACATGGGATCAGAAGAGAGAGAAACGTCGCGAGGAGCGAAGAAAAGACGACTCCAAAAGCTCAACATCTAGTTCTGATCGCGATCAGAATCGAGACAAGAGTCGTGATGATCCCGATGCTGCCACGCAGGAGCGAGAGAGAAGACGACGAGAGAGACGCGAAGAGCGTAGAGCACCCGATCGCGCTGAAGATAACTATGATGAGCGACGAGCCCACGTACTTTCAGAAATATCTGCAATTACTCACGCACCCACAGACCCATTCCTATATCAGGTTGCAGATACACCTCCCCATGAGGAGAGTTCTGGCCGACCCAAAGAAGAATCTGTACCTTCTGTTGTTACCGTTGAACGTGAACCAGATTTCACTCGAAAACGAAGCTCATCTATCAAGGAGCCATCTTCCGTCGCCCGGTCCGAACCACGCATTGATGTTTCCGACAAAGATGACAAGGAGAAACGATACAGAGATAGCGCCAGAGCTCTTCATGATGCCGAAATGATTTATGAGGAAACTGAGCACTCCACGGCTCCTATTGCAGCAGCAGCCATTGCCGCCGCCGCCGCTGCTGTGGCAAGAGAAGGTCTTCGGGAATCAAGATCGGCGAAACGACGAGGCGAGAGACAATCTGACCCCGAGAACTCAACCAAAGCCCCAGAGAAATCACACGGGGACGTCATGGAAGAAGCAGATAGAGCTTATCGTGAAATTGTCATGGCCAGGAAAGTTGCTGCAGAAGTTCGCCGTTCTCGAACCCCATCGCCTGAGCGTTCTGTGATCAACAAATACGAAGAAGAGTCAGAGGAAGAAGCACCCCACATTGTCACGCCACCTAGCATGCATGAACGCAAGAAAGGTCCGTACGATGCACCGAATGCCGACTTCAAGCTGGATTATATCATGACACCCAAAGATTTGAGAGTCTACAGCATCCCTGCCCTTCGATACAAGGTTGATCAAGCCGATTTGATGGGTCCATTTATGACCAAAGATGCCGATGCTAGATTTTCCCGACCTCTGTTGAATTTGATTCGACCTACACCTACTTCAACACCATCCCCCGAGAAGCAATTTGCCACCGCCAAGAATGGAAATGGCAAGACTATCAGCTCTAGTCGGCCAGACAATCGCTCAATGGAAAGAAGCCGTTCTGAACCTGAGCGTTCTTCGAAGACTAGTGATAGAGATGAAGTGCGTGAACAAACTTCTGCTCGATCGCAAATTGAGCCGACTCGGCCCAAAGATATAAATCAGGGTCGCGAACAAGCCCCATCATACCGATCGCAGGATGAGCCTAGGAAAAGGACTCAGACTCGTGAACAGGCTCCATCATATCGACCGCAAGATGAGCCTATGGATAGAACTCAGACTCGTGAACAGGCTCCGTCATATCGATCACAGGATGAGCCTAGGGAAAGGGCTCAGACTCGTGAACAGGCTCCGTCATATCGACCACAAGATAAGCCAACTCAGCCCAGAGAGAGAATTCAGGATCGGGAACAAACCTCATCATATCGACCGCAAGATGAGCCTAGGGATAAAACTCAGGCCCGTGAGCAGACTCCATTATATCGATCAGAAGAGGAACCACGTGATCAGGATCGTCGAAAGCGCAGTACCAGAGATATTCCTCCTATCGTTGTTGGTCCAAGAGGAGACCTCGTTCGCTCATCTGATGTTTCCGCTCCATCCCCCACTCAATCAACAGTCTCAAAAGCTGTTACCTGGGGTCCAAACGAGACAAAGCACTTCGAGGTTGAGAGTCCGACTGAACACAAGGATGACTTCATTTCCGATTCATTCCCAGAAGTTCCCGAAAAGCGAAGACATTCCGAACCAAGGTCTGAGCCAAATTCTGAACCAATACCAGCAAGTGGATGGGCTTCGATGACAGCAGGTATTCTTGGTGCAGGCGTTGGGGCAGCAGTAGCAGGCTCGGCTGAGTCTTCTAGGCAACCTGAGGTAAGTGAAATCCCTAGAAGCTCGAAATCAAAGGATTTAGAGCGAGATGAGAGGAATTATGGGTATCGAGGTGTGGTCGTAGAGCCCGAGAGTCCTTACGGAGAATCGAGACGTGAGAGTCCACCGAGAGAAACGAGAAGAGACAGCTTGCCTCAAGCAATTATTGAACCCGAAAATCCTCGTAAAGAATTAAGACGAGAGAGCCCGCCTCGAGACACGAGGAGAGAAATTCTGCCCCAAGACACGAGAAGACACAGTCCACCTCAAGATACCAGAAGAGAACGTCTACCGCAAAATACGAGAAGAGACAGCCCACCTAGTATTGGTCCAAAACCTGCCTCTTTACAATCTTCACATATGCCTGGCTCTTTCGACGACGATTTGGACTTCACTGCAACGGTGGCAGCTGGCTTGCAAGATACTGGCTTCAATCCTGATCTTGTTATCGATAATCTTGCGTTCCGAAAACGTGACTCCCCACCTGGATCTAATGAGTACAAATACAAAACCCCATGGGCAGAATCTATTACCGACCTTTCAAGCGTTCCGGGTGAAAGTTCTTCAAATCGTGGTGTTGCTATGGGTGAAGTGCCTGAACCTCCAAAGGATTGGACGAGTACATCGCCTGCCAACGAAGAATCACCCAAGCTTACTAAGAAGGAACAGAGAAAGCGCGGCGACAAGGACTGGAGACGAAGTGGTGCCGGCGTATCGTCGACGATTGCTGATGTTATAGTTGAGGAGCCAGAAAGCTACTTTGATTCTTCTACACAGAGCAGAGAGGAACAGGAAAGAGGTGACAATGAGGTAGCAAGACCGCAATCGCTTTTGCGAGAGGAGTCGTCATTTGTTGATATTTCTCCAGCACACGAATTAGTTGAAGAACCAGAGAGCTACGTTGAGGCTGATGAAATCCCCAAGAAGTTCAACAAGAAGTTATCGAGATCATCGACATACGATGGTAATGTTTTTGATTCATCTGTTTCAATGCCGAAAAGAAACTCCGGCAAGCGCTCGTTAACTTACGATGATAAAGCTCCATTGCGTGGAAGTCATAGGACCTTTTCTTTGGATGATATCAAAAATGATGATGAATCAAGAGCACCTGGAGAATTCAAACGTGACAGTGGTCGATTTGGTTCTCCCGATCCTTCACAAATCTCGTTACCTGATTCTGATAACATTGATGAAGATCTCGATCGGCCAAGAGAGCCGGAAAAACTATCACGTCGGGACGATGATGATCCACGATTGGCTTCATCTCGTTCAATACTATCTGGTGGCAGCTCAAAACTGGACGAGGAAGATTCGCCGCGTAAAAATCGAAAAGATCGCAGCAGTACTAAGGATGGCAAAGATGGTAAAACTTTAGTATCCTCGGAACCTATCCGCGATGAAAATGAAGATTCAAAGAAGAAGGCAAAGGGCACACCGAAAAAAGGTAGTGGCTTGTTTGGTTTCTTTGGAGGTGCAAAGACGGATGCAACGAAAGGAGATCTAGCGAAGGAAATACGCGACGACACTGATGATGCCAAGAAGAAAAAGAAAAAACGAAGCTCAACGTCGGACGGAATATCTGGGGGGTCAACCTTTCAAGGAACCGTCCCCACTGGGCTCGATTGAAACCAATGGCCACAAATCACGCACTGCGGATAGTGCGCAAGAGTTTGGGAAAGATGGAGAGAAGAAGAGGAGTAAAAGCTCGGATTCGAAGAAGGATTCTTTTTTAGATAATGCCGGCACCCTTGGCGCGGGTGTCGGCCTTGCTGCTGGTGCAATTGCAATTTCTGCTCAGCACCAACAGCAAACTGCCGCTAATAATAATGATAGCGAGGGGACTAGGGGGGAGAGTGGGGAGAGGGGAGAGAGGGGGGAGAGGGGGGAGCAGGACAGAGAGGAAGAGATATTCGATCCAGAGATTATCGAACGACAAATCAGACCCTCAATTGACCCTCAATATGGAGATCTTTTGCCTTTGCCGCCAAGTGGTTCAGTTTCACCTAATTTTGAACCAATTGATGATCTGCCAAAACTTCCAGAAAGTCGGCCCGCGACACCGGTATCTGAGAAACGATCTGTAGGTACGCCTAGAGAGAAGACTTCGCGAAATCGTAAGAGTTTGCAGGAGACTCCGGTAAAATCCCCAAGCCAAAGCGCCGTGCCATTAAAATTTGTCATGGGAAATAGGTCCAATCCGGCATCACCTATTCTAACGAGATCAACTGGTAATACGCCATTTCCGGCTTTCCAACCTTCCCCAATTGCAGAATCAGCCATAATTGCAAGATCTAGATCACGACCTATGTCCTGGGATAATACCAAGGAATTCAAACCCCTGTATCTTTTAGAGACTAACAGACGTGGGTCGTTCGTACCAGAAGAGCTAATTGAGCCGCTCCCACATTTGCCGCCATCCCGCACAAATTCAGAGCTTGACGTAGCGGATCTACCCGAATTGGGTTCTTTGGAAAAATTGGATCTTCACCGCCTTTCACTGGATCCACTTTCAACCAACCTCCCCTCCGAAGATCTCGTCTCCGGAGAATCAACACCGACTGCGATTACCTTTAAGAGGGACTTAGCGCCATCAGTGGAGTTTCTTCAGGATTCTTTCCCCTCAGTAGAAGAAAAGACAATTTTACCTTCTAATGTCCACTCACATGAACGATCCTCATCGGATTCAAAAGCCCAAGCCATTGGTTCCGCAGTAATTGTAACTGCGGCTGGCCTTGCTATTGCATCTCATGATACGAGCGGAAACGATAATTTCATGTACTCATCTGAGTCACATGACTTAAGCGCCGAACGAGAGAAAACTTTGCAAACCTTAAGTGCAACTTTATACAAACAAGCTATGAGTATTGAGGAGGAGGTCGAATCGACCGAAGACTTTCCTCTGTCCAAATCCAAGAAAAATAAGAAGGGTAAAGGTTTGATGCTCGCATCAGATGATATCAATGATCAAACCGAGAATACTCCGGAGCCCATTCAAGAATTTGAGCCACTCTCCACTCCAATTGAGGCCGAGCATGTCGAGCCGGGCAAAGCTACATTTCGGGAACCGGAATCAGAACTCCAATCTGAAACCCCTGGCCAAGAGGATACACAGGAACTAAAACCCGACGATTTTTCAAGTGAACAACATACCGTGACCGAACCGAGCAGAGATCTTTTCGAGGAGGTAGCTATACCTATTGAGATTGAACCAGTCGAAGAGTTCTCCGCTCCGAAATCTAAGAAGAACAAGAGAAAGGTTAAAAACGCTCTGTTTTTCGAGCCAGAACTGGAGACGGAAACTGTAGACAACCTAGAGACTTTCAAACCTATGGATGGATCCACTTCAGCTGACAAGTCAGTTGACCAACAGCAACAGCAAGTGCCGGAGTCTAGTCACGACATTGTTGAGGAATCTTTGCCTTCAGTCGAGATTGACCCAGTTGAGGAATTCTCTGTGCCAAAATTTAAGAAGGATAAGAAGAAAGATAAGAAGCAGGCAACGACTGCCGGCTCTAAACCGCATGAACTTACTCCTGAGCCAGTAGTTGAAACCACGACCGAAAGACCCATACGAAAACCATCAATTGAAAAATCGACAGAGCTTCCTCGCGGATTTTCAGACCCATCTTCTTCTTTGGTCAACCTAGAGGTCCAGCCTGTAAATGATTCTTCAATCCTCGAAACACCTGGTGATATTACGCCTACCGCCTACGAATTGACTAGCCCTAAATCGAGGAAAGACACGAAAAAGTCCAAGAAAGCGAAATCAATCTTTCATGATCCAGAGCCGGAACAAGCTATGATCGAACCTAACTTCGATGAGCCTGTAGTCTCTCAGTCTCAAGAAGTCACGAGAGATAATCCTTTGGAGTTCTCTCAAGCTTCAGTTAAAGATGACATTCAAAGACCTACGACTCCTGCCAATGTCGAGCCGATTGAGGAATTTTCGACGCCGAAGTCCGGGAAAGATAAGAATAATGACAAGCAACAGGCAAAGGAGGAACAAGATATGGATACCGAACGTGAGTCAATTGATGCAGCAGCTCAAGAGCAGGTGCCCGATATACAAGAGAAAGATTTTGTGCACATTCCTATTCTGGAAGAAACTCCGAAGCTGGATGATGTTCCTGAAAGCATTACCTCCCCTTCCTCCAAAAAGAGCAAAACGAAGAGCAAAAAAGGTAAGGCTGCAGATGTTGAGGAACCCGCGAAGCTACCAGTCGCTAGTCCTCTACCTATACCAGAGACTGTATCAGAAAAACCAACACCAATGGTTGGGCCTGGTGGTTGGCCGGTAACTCCCGCCACGCCATGGACTTCGGTCTCACGAGATGCTTCCAAATCGAATGCTGAAAACTACTTCCCAGTTGTAGAAACTACATCCCCAGATATTACCGCTGGAGCTGCCGTGCTTGGCGCGGAACAACTGAACATCGACCAAAGTTCTCAGGACAAAAATGTATCGGATAGCTTTGTTGCAGAATATGACAATGATCAATTTGTCTTTGCGAAACAACCGCAGGAGGGATTCACCGATGGTGATAATCGATCAAGAAATGACAAGAAGAAGCGACAAAGTCAAACAATAACCCCTGAGCGTTCTCGATCAAGATCGAAATCAACCGAGAGATCCAATTTCGAACATAACGAAATTCCGAATGAACCATTGAAACCACAACAAGTGGCTGAGGATAATCCTAAGGGCCTTGTTGAGGGTGTTGCTAAACTTGATGAGCTTCCCGCCGGCTATGAAGAAGATCAGCCAACTATCGCTCGCCAATTAGCTGTGGAATTCGGAAACGAATCCGGAACAGATACGAAACATCGAAGTGTCTCTCAAACACTACAAAAAGAACGAGGCCAATTCTTCCACGCAACAGAGCAGATTCCCGCAGACGAGCCTCATAACGAAGAGAGGTCGATTGTCACCGAGACTGGAGCTCAAAGTGGACTTGATATTAGTTACAAAGATGATCAGCCGGCACTTGCTAAACAATTGAAGGATGGATTCGAATCTGGTCCCAGTAAGGTCAAGAAAAGTGATAAAGGAAAGGAGCGCGCCGGTCAAAACCAAGATGATGAACTTCCTTCTGATATCAGCCCCTCGGACAATGTTGCCAAGAATTTGAACGAGCAAGCAGATGTACTTACCTCCCAGCTAGAGATCATCGAAGGTCCAACAAACAAAGCAGTAATTGAGGAACCAAAGGAGCTGCCGCAAACTGAAGATAAATCCAAAGATAAGTACAGGCAACAGCAGTCACTTGATGAAAGTGCTCTTGGCAATAACGTCATCACTGAATCGACTCCTTTGGAAGAGACATTGATCCTCACCCAGGCGCCAGATACTGTTCAAGACTTACTTGTTGATCCGATTATTACAGAGTCACCAATGGTGGAAAAGAAACCCATTGATCCGGTTATTACAGAGTCACAGATGGTCGAAAGGGCACCCATTGATCCAACTATCACAGAGCCAGAACCCGAGGTCTTGACACCAAGCAAGAAGTCTAAGAAGCAAAAGAAACGCGACAGTTTACCTGCATCCATACCTTCTGAAAAATCCAAGACGCCTAAGGTTTTAGAGACAACAAAGCCTGTTGATGTCCCTGAGCGATTCGAATCTGAATATTCATATCTTTTTGAGAAGGCTTACACCGCGGTTGATCCTAAAGCCGAATTGGGAACTCCTGATAAAAATCAAGACGGTTTGATTGAACCAATACCTCTGGAGGAGGATTTTCTGTCTAGCAATGTAGATGATGCGAACTCTGAGGAGGTCAAGTCTGATGAAGCAAAAGCTTCTAATAATAAGCAAGAGATTCCCGCCACACCTCTGGAGTCTCCTACTATGGACCGTGAAATCGAGTTCTCGACACCCCCTAAGAAGTCTAAGAAAGACAAAAAGATGCGTGGCAAGCAAGTACAAGATTCAATTGAAGAGGATGTTGCGTCCAAGGATATCACACCCGCAAGTGAATCGTCAAATATCGAGACTCCAGTTGGATTTCCAAGTTCTGCTCCTATCGAACAAATCATCACTATTCCCGCGAAAGAGTCAACTCCTAACGATGCGCCATCTACCCCAATGACAGCAGGACTTTCTGGTCTTATGGGTCCTCTGACAGGAAGAAAGAAGGGTGTTTTGGAAATGGTTCAAGCTTTGGGATGGGGTAAAAAGAAGGACAAGGCTGCTATAGCTGCAGCTGAGAAAGACCTCCCTCCAAGACCATCCACAGCACGCGCCGCGTCTGTATCTTCTATGCCAAAAGTAATCGAGGCCGAACCTGTCGTGGCGCCAACACCCACCGAAAAACTTGAGGAATGGGCTTTACCAAACAGAAACTCAACGGAAAAGTTGAAGGGTAAGGATGTCGTGAGCGCAGATCCTGAACCAGCACAAGATATAGTCGTCGAAGAACCTCTGCCAATCGAGTCAAAGGAAGACACCACTGAACAAACTGTAGAACCACCAGTCACGAAACCGATCGAGGAGGTACAAGACGACACATCATCTAAAAGACCAAAGGGCAAGAAACGCCACAGCTTACAATCTTTCCTCTCCGGAGAAGCTTCCAAAGCATTTAGATTCAAAGACTCTGCAAACAAAGAACCAGAAACTCCGTCTCTGACGGCAGAACCAGCTTTCAACGAGCAATCCCGCGAAATTATTTCTGAGCCAAATCTCGAAACTCCGGTTGAAGAGAGAAAAGAACCTGACTCTGTACTCGAGGTCCCGACCAGAAAATCGAAGAAAGACGAGAAGAAACGTCAAAGTCTGCAATCTTTAGTATCCGAGGAAATGCCAAAGGAGGAGCTTGATGTGTCAAGAGATGCTTTTATTGAGGAACCGAAGTCGCAAACTCCGGAAAACGGTAAGACAATCGTTGAGAGTAGCAGCGAGCCTTTGGAAATCCCACGTGAACTTGTGGAAGGTGTTCAAAGCCTTGAAGCACCATTTGAGCATGTTTCTGAGCCAATTGTTGAGAGATCGATCGAGCCTGAGGAACTTCGTCGTGAGATTGATCAGGAAGAAGTTTCCGCGCCCCAATTACAGCGTGAGCATATTTTGATGCCAATCGTCGAGAAATCTAGCAAGCCGGAAGAAATTTCTCGTGAGGTTGTCGAGGAGGATGTCTCCGCACCACAGCGACAGCCACCACTTGAGCAAACGCCGAAGCCAATTATCGAGCAAGCTAGCGAGCCTTTGAAGATTCTCCATGAGATTATTCAGGAACAAGTTCTCACACCTGAGTATATCCCCGAGCCAATCATCGAGCGATCAAGTGAGATTACAGAAATTCCACGTCAAACCATTCAGGAGGCACCACTGGAGCATATTTCTGAACCAATGATTGAGCGATTTGATGAGTCTTCTGAAACACCTCGCGAGGTTATCCAGGAGCATGTTTCTGCGCCACAAGCACTGTTCGAACACGTTACCGAGTCACGTAACGAAGCTTCTTTGCCAAGCGAGCTTAATCTCCGAGAAGCCACGAAGAGTAACGAGGATGTTGAGCCAAGTATGGTTGATGAGTCATCCATGTCGAAGGAGACGATACCGGAGGATATCATGCCATCTGTCGAATATGTCGAGCCAAGTGCAATCCTTCAGGAGTCTTTCTTACCACAAGAGCCACTTCCCGAGAACAATGTTGAAGTTATCAATACAAACACTGTTGATGACCTTTCTTTACAAAGAGACGCTACCCCACAGGAGGACTCAAGAGAGATTGAGATTGTTGAGCCAAGTGATAGTGTTGAAGGGTCTATCTTACTACGAGAACCACTTCTTCAGGAAAGCAGTAAGGCTGTCGACCGGTCTTTGCCAACACAAGCTACCCCACAGGAAGATTCAAGGGATGCGGAAAGCTTTGAGCCAAGCCACACTGTTGAAGAGACTTTTGTACCCACAGCACCTGCAGAAAAAATTCAGACAACCGAGCCAGTGTCAAGCGAAATACCCATTATCGAGAAGCCGGAGACCCGAGACGAGACGATTTTACCCGGTACTAAGAAGTCTAGGAAGAGCAAGAAAAACAAGAGCAAAGACAAATCCGAATCGGAGCCTCAGGCGTCAACTGAAGTCATCCAGGAGCCTGAACAAACTCCTTTTGTCGAGGAACCAACCTTGGAGAAACGTTTTGAGACCGCACAATCAACCAATCGGGACATTTTGGAGCAGCCTGCCGAACAATTCACTGAGACGGTTGAGCCAACAAATCACGAAGTCTTAGAGCCTGCATCAGTGCCACTTCCAGAGGATCTTGTTGACGAGTTCCTTGAACTTGACGAACCTGCAAATGTCGACGTTATAATACCATCTCTTGAGCATGCTACATCAAATCCAATTTCTGAAGAGACTATCGTTAATCCAGAGGTCGAGGAGCCCAATAGTCGTGAGAACTCAGACTACTTGGAGCACGCTGCATCGATACCACTTCCCGAGGACACTTTCGAGAAACTTGCCGAGCATAGCGAGCCCGAAAACAGTGGGGTTCTAGACCCACGTGTGCCAGCTTCAGAAATCGTGGAGCAGACAATTGAAAGCCCTTCTGCTGATGTCGAGGTTCCTGCAAACCGAGAAATTTCGGAGCCAGTCTCTCCAAACGTCGTGGAAAAGTCAGCCCAACAACCTGCGCCGATTTCACCAAAAAGGTCCAGGAAAGACAAGAGGAAGAGTAAATCTGCCATATCGATGCCTTTAATTGAGGACTCCTCTCTTTCTCTAAGCCCACTCCATGAGACTGAAACAAGAGCTATCGAACCCGTATTGAAACAAGTGCCACAACTTCCAGACGTTCCAGTGACTGGACCTTTGAACGAAATGATCTTCAACGAACCACAAGCAATCGAGGCCACTCCAGCAGATTTCAATCCAAAGACAGCACAAAAGGCTATCGAAGCAGCGGAACTCATCACAACCCCCAGCTTTCCAGAGACAACCGAGCCCATTTTGCAAGACAACTTGCCTGAGCCACTCGATGAAGTTCCGACCAAAAGGCCCAAGAAAGACAAGAAGAAGCGCAAGTCCCAGCTTCCAGTTCCATTGGCAGAAGATACCACTACTCAAGCTCCATTGGAATCCTCACCAACTCAACAGGCCGACGACATACCGACTCAAGCATCCCTTCAAGACCCCACAGAGTCAATTCCAGTAGCCAAGCAAACAATCACCGAAAGTATCGTAAATCCCACACTGAAAGATGCTGAAGCCAAGCAAGCTAATGCAAAAGCGACCTCCCAAAACCCTTCTGAAGATCAACAGCCCATCAAATCCGTGTCCAAAGATATCACCGACTCACCAGAAACCAACTTTACAGATGCTCCAATCAAGGTATCCAAAAACGGCAAAAAGAAGCGCATATCCCTCGTTACAAACCCAACAGATGAGCCTCCCACGGAGAGCATGTCAGAAATAACCGAGACTTCCCAGTCAATCGTTCAGCCTCCAGCAGAAGAATTTCATCATGATATGGTACCTGAAGAGATTATCGAAGAGATTGCGCCAGAACCAATTACACTTCAAGATCCTATATTTGAGCCAAAACCAGTGGAAGAAGAAAGCAGTACCCCTCAGAAGCCAGCAATTGAGTCAAAAACATCTGAACCACAAATGATTATTCCTCAGGAACCAACTATCGAGCCAGAAATTGTAGAGGAAGCTTCTATGCTGCAGGAAATTATTGCACCGCTTGATTCTTCAATCGAGTCAAGAACCACTAATGAGGATTCTTTTCTTTCACGGGAAACAGTTATCAAGCCAGACACTGTGAAGGAGGAAGTTTTGATACCGCAAAATTCAAGAATTGAGTCACGAATCAATGAGGAGCCATTTCTTTCGAAGGAACCCATCATTGAGCCAGAAATCACGAAGGAAGAAACTTTTATCCCGGATGAACCAATAGTCGAGTCAACAACATCTCAAACACAGCTGAACACCCCTCAGGATCGATTTGTCGAGCCAGAAATGACAAAAGAAAGCTTTGTGCCGCAAGAATCAACAATCAGGTCAAGAATCAATGAGGAACGGCCAACTTTCCACCAAGAGCTACAAACCGCACCAAAAGTCTCCGATCCCGGAGTTAGTCTTGCACAAGACTCGATACATGAACCAATAAACAGCGAAGAACAACTGGTTATCCGAAAACCAGTCCTGGAAGTCAATATTCCCGAGCCAGAACAAATCGCCTTGCCAGATTCCCCAATTGAGCAGAAATCATTTATCCTACAAGTGCCCTTTCGACAGGAGCCTGTGGTCGAGCCACAATATGTCGCTTTGCCAAATTCGCCAATTGAACATAAAAAATTCCAACCAGAAGTTCTTTCTCGACAGGAGCCTTTATTTGAGCCGGAACATATCGCTTTGCCAGAATCGCCAATGGAGCAGAAATCGTTTGAGCTAGGGGTGCCCTTTCTACAGGAGCCTGTGGTCGAGCCACAATACATCGCCTTGCCAGAGTCGCCAATTGAACATAAAGGATTCCAACCGGAAGTACTTCTTAAGGAGCATAAATCATTTGAGCTAGGTGTGCCTTTTCTACAGGAGCCTGTGGTTGAGCCGGTACCTATCGACGCATTACCAAAATTACCAATTGAGCAAAATTATTTTGAGTTAAAGATGCCTTGTCTAAACAAGTCTGCAATTGGGCCAGAGAATATTGAGGAAATTCCTACTTTTCAAGAGCATGCAACCCATATTCAAAGCCCAAACCTCGGATTGGCTGTACCACGAGAATTATCCCTTGGTCAGAAGCTTGTTGGCCCAGAACAAATTACTTTGCCAGAATCACCAATTGAGCAGGAAGTGTCTGTATTAAAAGTCCCATTTCAACAGGAACCTGTCTTTGAGTCACGTAATTCCGAAGAACCGTTGGTTTCTCAAGAGCGCTCAACCGATTCGAAACGCCCAGACTTAGAATTGATCGTTCCACACAGGTTCGCTGAGCCAGAACAAATCGCCTTGCCGGAATCACCGATTGAAGACAAAGCATTTGAGCCAGAAACCCCTTTCCGACAAGAGCCTATATTTGAGCCAAAAGAGCGCTCAACCGATTCCAAGAACTCGGACCTAGAATCGTTTGTTCCACGAGAATTGCCCTCAGTACACAAGATTGCCGAGCCAGAAGAAATCGCCTTGTCGAAATCACCGTTCGAACAGAAAGAATTCCAACCAACAGTCCTCTTTCGACAGGAGCCTGTTGTCAAGTCAAACGAGCACTCGACCGATTCCAAAAACTCGGACCTAGAATCGATTGTTCCACTAGAATTACTCCTAGGACACAAAACAGCCGAGCCAGAAGAAATCGCCTTGCCAGAATCACCGATTGAAGACAAAGCCTTCGAGCCAGAAATCCCTTTTCGACAAGAGCCTATAGCTGAGTCAAAGGAGCGCCCAATCGACAATACATTACCTGACCCAGAACCAAGTGCATCACAAAAATTGCCACTTGAGCAGAAGGTTGCCGAGAGAGAAGCGGTCATTCCACAGCACTCTACCGAGTCGACGATTGCTGAAGAGTTGCCTGTTTTTCATGAACGAGCTATCGGTTCAAAAATCTCTGAGCTAGAACCAACCATTTCACGAGAATTGCCAATTGAGCAGAGTTTTATCGAAGCTCAAGAGTTCAACGTCAAGGAGCCTGTCCTCGAGTCAAAAAACACGGAAGAAACAACGGCCCCACAGGAATCATCGCTGGAGTCAAAGATACTGAAGCAAGAGACGACAATTCCGCGCACCTTTTATGAAGAAGCAAATGACGACTTCGAACCCGTTTCTCACAAGAAATCTAGAAAGGACAAGAAGAAAAGGAAAAAGAACCTAGACCTTTCGGAGACCTCCGAAGAGCCCATAAAATTTGCTTCCACTTCTCGAACGCCAGAACTTGAGAATTCAGCGATTGCGCCTGAGCCAACATCACTTGATCCCATTATTATTGAACCTACGTCAAGCTCGCAACCAACCGTCTCCCAACATTTTGAGCCAATTGCAAGTGTCGAACCAATCCTCTCACATACTCTTGAGTCTACATCAATTACAGAGCCAATCACCCACGAAAAAGCCACTAACCCTGCACTCAGGACGGAGCCCTTCACTTCAGAACTTGCGGAATCCGTACATAGCCAACCTCCAATCGAAAGCCTCCCCATTGAGACTGAGTCAGCACGAAGAAATGAACAGGCTTGGCCTGCCGAGGAATCTAAAGAGGACGAAAACAAGGGCGAGGGCGTCTTTAGGTCCATAGAAGAGGCGTCTCATGTTGCCCCTCAAGCCGAACAATCGGAAAAGTCATCATTCGAAATAATGGAGTCTCAGTCAACGGAAGATAATGCAAAGGACCCTGTGCAAGAGGTTCTCGAAGAGACTCCTCAAGATTCGTTTTCAGACGCTGTAGAATATTTCCCCACGGAAGAGATTGCAACTGAACCAACTCCTGAGGTTTTACGAGAACTAATCATGACTTTGGAGCCCGGTTTACAAGATATTACTCAAAACTCTGCCGAGCAGTCTACCCCGGAGGTTATCAAGTCCCTTCGAGATGAAGAGTCTGCAACTAGCCCAATCCCTGAGGCCGTACACCGCCAAATCGAGAATGTGATCCCTGGCTCTGAAGAGATTACACAGGATGAGTTGAAGGCAATGCCAGAAATACCGCAAGTTAATTTACAACGAGAGATGTTGATTGAGGAACGTACAAAAGAAGAGCACAGACCAGCAGAGGATGATGTCACTGAGGTCTCAACCAAGTACTTCAAGGATACAAAAGATCGTGAGTTTGGATTTTCTTCACCGGTACAGTTTGTCCCCAAAAACACCCAATTAGGAGTACCGGGTGTTGTGAAATCAGTACCTGCACTCAATGAAATCAAGGCCATGCCAACCGGAGAGATGCCAAAGGAAGTTCAACAACAAACCGAGGACGAATGGGGTTCGGTTTCTACTAAGAAATCGAAAAAGGACAAGAAGAAACGTAAATCTATATTGTCTACCCCATTGATTCCCGAGGTTCTCAATGTTGCCACTGAGCTTCCTGAGGATACTCTATCAAACCCTGGAAAGCCTGAAGAGCTGCATCCAACTATTGACAACGACGTGCCTGATACTCATACATCTTTCCAGATTCCACAGGTTGAAACAATCATTCGCGGAGATGATCTTTTTAGTATGCCAGACGACAATAGAGGGAAGGAAAGGTCAAGCAGAGAATTTGACCCAGAATCACAAACCCCGATCGCACCCAATACCGTCGCGGTATCCGAAACACAGGATGTTAAGCCCGGCGAGCGTCTCTTTGCCCTTCCTATTCCAATGAGAAATACCGTACAAACGTCTGAACCTATCGTGGAACCAGATACAATTTTGCCCGCCCCCTTGTCCTCTTCACCCAATTCCATTATCGATGAGCCAGACAAACTATCCAGTGATTTATCGCGAACGGGCTCAAAGCAAGAGAAGAGAAAACGTCAAAACACAGAGAACCTCGACACGCCCAGAGATGACCAAAGGACCTTTTGGGCAGGTGAAGTTCCCGAGGCAGAAATTATTAGGCCTGTGCCAGTCATCGAAGACATCGGACGAGATGAATTTTATTCTCATATTGCCAGCACAGTCGAGAAGCCCCAAACGAACGAATTTTCTAGACCACCCGCCAAGAAAGGGAAGAAAGATACGAAAAGAGAGTCGGCTCATATTGAACTTTTCCGACAACCAATGGGAGAAGATCTGTCACAAAATGAGTCAATGAAGGAGCGCAAGGAAATGCCTTCTGTGGTAGCTGCGAATGCTGCAATCGTTAGTGCAGCATTTGTGGCCAACAAAAGCAAGGAGCCAGGAGTTGATCGTGTCAAGGAAGAGGAAAGCTCCCCAGTGGAGGGATATTTGGAGCAAGAAGAAATAAGACAAAGCATTGACAATAGAGTGCTAGACAACGACGTATTTGATAATTCAGTAATATGGGAAGATAAAGATCCGAAGGTGTTTGTGGAGACAAAGGATGAGTTTGGAGAAATCAAGAATGATGGATATGCTAGTGATGGATTTGAGGAGGAACATACGATTGTGCAAGAACCAGAGCAGATGGCAAATACTCAGGAACCGATGATAGAAATGCCTGGCAAATTTGCAGCAGCAGAACCTCGAGAGATTAGAACCCCCACACCTCGCAGCCCCGTTGGTATCGCAAAGTTTGTTCAGGAGCCAGAGCAAACGGGGAAATCTCAGGAATGGACTGCAGTTACTAATACATCTGCGATAACGGAAGCTCGAGAGATCCGAACCCCTAGATCTCTCAGTCCCGTTCTCAACGATGCAGAGTTTGTTCAAGAACCAGAGCAGATGGAAACCACACAGGAGAAGGTCATCGTCGAAACTCCTGCCGAGCCAGAGACGGCAAAACGTAATATTTTGCATGAGCCAGAACAAATGGAGACTGTCCAGGAATCAATAGTGCAAATCCCTGTCGAGCCTATGATAGTGGAACGAAAAATCGTCCAAGAACCAGAACAGATGGAAATCCCTCGAGAATCAATGGACCAAATTCCTGCCAAGCCTTTGGTAATGGAAGCCCGCGAAACTAGAACACCCACAACACCTCGCAAGATTATTTACGATGACGACAGGCATCTAGAGAGTGAAACTGTACCAGCTACTACGAGTAGCTCTCCAAGCCCGAGAAGGTCACCACCCGCAAGAGAACCACGAGGAGATCTACCAGAGCCGTATCTTTCTAGACCTTCAAGGAGAGAGATGGAGAAGAAGAAGAAGCAGCAGGCTGAAGCTGACAATACCCAAGATCTTCTACCGACACCGATTCAAGAAGCCTTACGAAACGTCATCGCCAGTCCTCAAGCTAGAGATATCAGTCCTTCGCCAGTTTCATCTCCGAAAGCCGAACGAGCTAAACGAGCTAGATCCAGATCTCGTCCCCCATCTCGTCCTGGAACTCCTGGATTAACAATACTACAAGAGGAATCAGAAGAAGAGCATGCTCTCAATGTAGACAATAGAGACAGTGCGTTTGTCAGTGATTCGCCAAATCCTCAAGGAAACTTCACCGAAAAGCATGAACACGTTCGTGACAGTGGGATTCACCTAAGAGACAATTCGCCTTCCATGCGCGTTAGGGCTCCAGTGTCATCGACCGATGCAGCCATTGAAAGCATGGCATGGCCTTCCGTGGATGAAGATGCCGGCACTGTTGACCTCAAGCAACCGCAACGATTCAAGATTGTGGAGCGACTAAAACGTCACGATCATGGAATTGATGATCTGCCATCTCAAAGACACAGAGAAGAAAAGCACACAGATTTACAAAGGACATCGGCAATCCATGGAGTGCACTCACCTCGCGAGGAAAAGCATAGACTCGCTCGCAAAACATCTTTAAGTCGTGGAGAACTAGCAGAAGCAAACCATGTGGACTTCGTCCGATCCCAACGGCTTAAGGCTTTTGAAACTAAATCCAAAGAGAAATTATCTGAGCCTCATCAAGCAGAACCAATCAACAAATTTGTGACCCCGGAGAGAGAACATACAAGGCATCGTGTCCACCGTTCCGATTTACCAGACCTTCAGTACCGCAAACCAAAGGAGAAAAAATATGGAGATCTTGAACCTGTCAAAACTCCAAAAACAGAACAGCGAAGTATTTCTGAGAATTCTCCATCATTATTTGGAGGTGCAGCTCTCGCAGCGGCAGGCTTAGGATTTGCAGAAGCCAGGAAATCAAGTCAAGAAAATCGACCTTCGAGTGCTCAAAGTCATAAGAGACAAAAATCAGCTTCAAATATCAGCGTTACTAGATTACGAACGCCAGTTCCATCAGATGCGCCTCAACCGCCACAGTTCCCGGATTGCGCTAATACCAATCGTTCGTTTACACCGCCACTCCGTCGTGTCGCCCGAAAAATTAGTGGAGATTTAAGATCGCTTCGTCAGCAAAGTAACACTGATCTCGCTAAGGAAATTGTTCCAGCCTCTGTCGATACCGCTACATCCACAATTTCAACTAATACTGCCAATCCGACTGCAAATGAGGGTCGAGCCAGGGCGCAAGAAATGGCCGACGTCTATGTAAGCTGGCACGAATCTGAAGATGAAAAATATTCACTGCTAATAAAATCAATATAGGATGGTTACGGTGAAGGCCGTATGGGCTCACCACGATCCCCCACTCGACCTCATAGTATGCGACGACGACAGAGTATGCAAGTCTTGGAGCTTGAATCGAAACTTGATCAATTAGCTGCCGAAAATCGCACACTCGCCGAATCGAAAGCTCATGCCGAACATATGCTGCGATCGAGCCAAGGCGCACCTGCGGCCTTGGTAGAAAGGGATGCACAAATCGATTTACTCAAACGAACACTAGCATCAATGCAAGATGAGGTGAAGCGATTGACGGAAGTAAACACGGGTCTTTCAAGCGCGGCTGTTACGCTAGGGCAACAATATAATGCACGATATGGTACACTGGAATCACAACATGCACAGACTTCACGGGAACTTCAACAAGCCCTTGAAGCTCATCACAACCTACAGAGTGAAGTGGAGGGCATCATACACAATTCTATACAAGAAAGAGACCAGGAAATTGAATCACTGCGATCCCAATTGGATGCTGCTAAGGAACAAATCCGGGCAATGCAGAGGGAGATTCTAGCAGCCAAAGCTAGTGACACTCAATTCTTGATCATCCGGGATGAAGATTATTTCGACAATGCCTGTCAACAACTCTGCCAACATGTGCAGCAATGGGTACTTAGATTTTCCAAGTTCTCCGACATGAGAGCTTGTAGGCTCACGAGCGAAATCAACAACGACAAGACCATTGATCGACTCGATAATGCAATTTTAGATGGGTCAGATGTGGATAGCTATCTCGCAGATAGAGTAAGGAGGAGAGACGTCTTCATGTCAATGACAATGACAATGGTGTGGGAATTTATATTCACTCGCTACTTATTTGGCATGGACCGAGAGCAAAGACAAAAGCTCAAATCTTTGGAGAAGGTATTATCTGAAGTTGGACCACCATCAGCAGTTCATCAATGGCGTGCAACCACTTTGACCTTGTTATCCAAACGAGAGTCATTTGCAAGACAGAAAGACCAAGATACTCTAGCTGTGGTGCATGCTGTCTTGGAGACACTAACAGAGATTTTACCTCCACCTAGTCACCTCGAAGGTCAAATCGAGGAACAACTTAAGCGTGTCATGAAGGCCGCTGTCGATCTCTCAATCGAAATGCGCACCCAACGCGCAGAATACATGATGCTTCCACCACTACAGCCCGAATACGATGCCAACGGCGATCTCGCTAGTAAAGTGTCTTTCAACGCCGCACTCATGAACGAACGTAGTGGGGATACAATCTCCAATGAAGAACTCGAGGCACAAAAGGCTGTCGTGAGAGTTGTGCTTTTCCCACTTGTGGTGAAGAAGGGTGATGATTTAGGACAAGGCGATGAGGAGATCGTGGTATGTCCTGCTCAGGTCTTGGTTGCCAAACCAAGGATGGGAAAAGGGCCTGTGGGAAGGGTATATAGTCCTGCGAGTGGAATGGATATGGATAGGAGGAGTGATAGGAGTAGAACTCCGGCTAGTATGCAGAGCAGTATGCCTGATACTAATGTTATTTGAAAGCAATGAGAATAACGGAATGATGGATAAAGAAATGAATGGGAAGGGGGAACATGGGCTAAATGGGGTGGGGGTTAGGCTGGGAGGGGTGATGCATCAATTGATATCCTTTGGGTTTAGGTGGTAATGGTTGGATGGACGGGTTGGATTATGTGTTTTTACATCTCTTTTCCTATGTTTTTCCTTTCTACTTCTTCAACGATTTCTCGATTCATTCTAATGATGATTAATGATGCTACGCATTTAGCGAATCCGCAGCTACGGCTACGATCTTTTTTTTTACATCCCAAGCAAAAAGATATCCATATCATATTTTAACGACAATTATGACGAGATTGTAGGATTAGATGGATTTCATGCACTCCGCTTAGTTTAGGAATTTAAATGCAAAAGTATTTGGTTTCGATTTTGTTTGCTTGTGTGATTCTTGAGTGAAATGTGAAATGAAATAGGTACTGCTTTTACAAACAATAAAGAGTGAGAGGGAAAGATTCTGTACTCTTGATACATTCCCGATGAACATTAACTTTGGGCAAGCAGTCAATTGACATTGATAACGATGCAAAAATAAACACAACACATTCATTCAATCACATTGCACATTGCATATTGCACTCATTGTATGTATATCATCAATTCAATAATTCGCTTCTTCAAAACATCACTACACTCACTTGGATTCAAAAGATGAAGATAATCAAAAAACAAAAAAAGACATCAAAAAAACATACAACAGCAGGGATTCGCTGGTGGTCACCCACCCAACTACTAATCTGCCGATCTAAGGCTTGTGTATGGCAGAGCGGACGGGATGCCCAATTCCCCTTAGTCTATGGTCGTATGTGAAGAGCGTAGGAGTTTAAAAGAATATATAGTATGAAATAAGAATATGAGGGTGTAAGGATGTGGTGTGGGAGGAGGGAGGGTATTTTGTTATTCTACTATACTTGTTTTCTTCATATGCTCTCACACTCTGTATTATATCTGGATAGACAATCCTATCTACTCACTTGGTCATCTGAAAACATACATCTTATACTTCCGAATCATGGTTTCCGAAAGAGATAGCGTGACATCTGTGATATGTTTCTATCCCCTACATTGCACAAAACATACTGACCGGTACATCCAATCTGAAATCGAATTGATATACAATAAAACCCGCGAGCGAGCTCATAGATTTCATTTCCCGTTTTCTTTTCTTTGGTTTATCCCTATTCAAAAAATGATACTCCTCTGCTCGAGTAATAAATGTAAACTTCATATATCCACGGCTCCACAAAACAGAAAATAGGAACAGAAATAGTAACAATCAAGAACTCGAGCTCGAATTCATCTATCCCATCCATCATCCCTCTGTGCCCTCCTCCCAACAGAACTTCAATATATCTCATGGTACGTATCTTCCATTTCCAATTCCTTGCTTCCATCTTCGCAGTTACATCACGGATGTCACACGGTCACCGTGACGGTCACGGTCATGGTCATCGTCACACTTGGGACACAAGCCTCGTAAAAGAAAAGAGCAATAGCAACCAACGGACAAGATGAGATCACCCATGATTATAATAAAGGTCATCTAACCAATCACCCCACTTATATGCCCTCTCCCCCCATTCTTCCTAAGACCCACCCCCTCAAAGAAATCACATCTCTCCAAAGATCCCATCAACTACAACTCGAGTACCTGTACTTGTATTCCATTAGTACACAGGTACTTGGTATATATGCTCTTATACTCGAATAACACCTCCAATAACTTCACTTCACGCCTCGCACCTCAGTGACCTCACTCATTCATTCAGACAACTCCCTCATCCCCTCATTGCATCAAAAATGCAAAAGAAACAAAAGAAACAAAAAGTAATGTATCACTCTCAGGCCCATCTTAAAATTCCCCTCTCCGTAAAGTCTCTAACCCGTGCCACCCCACCCCACCCCACTCCACTCCACTGTACCGCAGTGACCGCACAAACCTCTCACTACACAATATTATGGATAGCGGGGTCACAAATACTCAGTACTTATAGCAGCTAAGTGAGGGGTCAGACTCAAATATCAACAAATTCACCGAATGAGAGGTTTTTGCGCACTACCTACTGTACCGCATGAGTACTCTACATAATACATTGCTGCATAGAACGATTAGAGTGAATAATAAGCCAGACGCAATAACACCCGCATACACATCCTACACACACCAATAGCATACATCCATACAAGCACTGCCCCTCTTCCAATCCATACTCAGTTGAAACTTGACAGTTAGTATATGCAGGCAGTATATGCAGCAGCAGCAGCATGCACATTGCACACACATGAAGAAAAGGAAAAGAAAGAAAAAAAGAGATCCGAGTGAATCAGAATATCAGCCCGATTACGGCACTGTATCTATCTATCCCACCCTTATCCTATCTACCCTAACTACTTAAGAGATCTCAATACTGGTTTCCTTTCCAAGTCTTTACAACTAACTACAATCACAACCACGAATCAACAAGACAAATCCTCAAACACAACAATACTCACCCTTTAACCGCACACACAAACTTTCACTTTCAAATCTATCAAGATGCCTGGAGATCACGGATGCAACTGTGGTGACTCGTGTATGTATTTATTTATTTATTTCTCTCTCTCTCTCTCTCTCTCTCTCTCTCTATTTAATATCATTTCCCCCAATTTCCATCTTCCAGCTTTCCAGTTTTTAGATACTTATCCCATCTATCTATCTATTTATCTATCCAATATAAAACCCCCCAAAAAAAACCAAACAAAACTAACAACACCCTCCCCCCTTCTCTAGGCGGATGCCCAGAAAATGCATGCAACTGCCCTAAAAAAGAATAAACTCACTCTCATTCTTACTCTCACATCGCCATGATCCTCCTTTCCTCTCCTCTCCTCTCCTCTCCTCTCTCTCAACACAGCATAACATAACCTCAAATTTACCTTTCGTCTTTCGTCTTTTGTCTTTCGTCATTCGTCTTTCACCTTTCTTCGATTTCTTCAATACTCGTACAAACACATCAGCACAGCACAACACAACACAACACAGCACAACACGGCAAAGCATCCCGATCTTTAAGCTACCTAGGCAGACGATGTTTACTACAAAAATGGGTGTGGGAAATGGGGTTGGATGGATTAGATTGAATTGACGGAAGGAAGGATGGAGGATGGAGGGGTTTTTTTCTTTGATATGCATGGTCTTCACACAGAAAGGAAAGGAAAGGATAGGAAAAGAGTTTCTCGAAACTTGCTTTGTTTGATACATCACATCACAAACACATCACAGCACATCAAATCAACTGATATCTTGACTCCAAACCCAAATGCATTATCGTGTCCTACTCCATTTCCAAGATAATGGGCGAATCTTTATGATTGATTGATAAATTGTGATATGAGAGCTCATTTATCTTTTTCTTGATTTTCCACTTCCTGGTTATGTATTATCTGAATGCGGGGTAAAACTAATCGAGAAATATATCTTCACGATACGACTTATCAATTGTTTCTCTCCCTATTCTATTTGTTATGGGTTGAGCCATTATCTTCCTTTTCCCTTTTCTTCATTAGAGGAAAGACAATCCTCTTCCGCGGGAAAAGTTCCTTCATTACCTACCAAATCCATCGTAGTCGGCTCAAACCCCCAAGACTTTTCTTACCCACACCTACCTACTCTGTCCGTGCATACACAATCTTCTTACCCCACCTGATTGAAGATCCAAAAGTCTCTCCTCCAGTGAAACGTTGCCACGTCTCCCAAACCTTCTTATCCATTCTCATCCATCCATCCATTCATCCATTCGTCCATCCGTCCCCATCTCAGCCTTGCTGTCGCCATCTAAAAATGGATACGTCGCATTCCCTCCCGAAAGAAAGCCATCTGAAAAGTATCCTGATGAACCATTATCGTATCATGGACAATACATCCGAGAAACGCACCGTGACTTTATCCAGTGTTGCGGGTTTCCGGCGATAGATTGCTCTCGTTTGAGCACGTTGCATGGCATCGCTAAATATTTGTCTTGGAATCTGCCAAATGTCGCGTTACCTCGAGTGAGGCTATGATGCTTAGGATCGGCGTAATGATCATGTAGTTGCATTTTACCTCGCTCTCACATTATCTATCTACCCACCCCACTGTCTGTCAATTCACACCTTCTCTGGGGTTAAACAAACACTAACCTGGGGCTAAGACCATCGGCAAGAACACACACGCCATCGAACCATCCTCATCGAATGATATTTGATCATTTGCTCTCTGCTTCCATCTGCTGTGCCGTTCGTCGTATCTACCCGTAGTTCTGGGGATATCTCCTTTCTTCTCTATTCGTCAAAGTGAAATCTCGAACCGTACGTAGATCAGGCGCCTGTCGTATCCTGTGCCTCACACCTTACTGTTTCTTCTCACGAGCTCCGGATCTCTAGTGTTTGAAATTTAAAATCTCGATCCGTGGGTATAAGTATCTGCTCTGCCTCCTTCTCCTTTTTGGGATTCTTTCATCAGTAGAACATCAAACACAAGCATTCGAATATACAACCCAAATCAAAACCACAAGACCAAGACCTCACTTCACCAAAAACCCATATCAATAATCATCATGGCTCCTTGCTCTTGCTGCACTCATGCTGCCTCTGAGGGATGCTCAAGCACCTGCTCCTGCTGCAAAGATAAGGTACGCTTGTTTCTTACTCGCAGTCCAAGACATCAGTATTGACATCCACTACCATAGCACTAAGAACCTTGCATCCTCTCCTCTCCTCTCCTCTCCTCACATCATCCCGCATGTATCCAACCTCTTCTTCGCTCCGTCGCATAACCAGCTATCTCGACCAAGACAACGATGACCCGAAGACCACGCACGCGAAAGATAACCAGTACATCATGTGATGAGATGGAATGGTGATTGAATACTTGCATGGACAGGAGTTTCTGCATGTTATATTTCATAGGGGGTGAGACAGTGGATGTTATTTTCTTGGTGGATCAAATGAGGATACATGTATCTCAAGGAGTAGGAATTTGAGGGGGGACACTCTTGATATTTGTTGTTGATTTATGATAAATTCATGACGCTCGCTTCAGCAACTTTGATCTGACTTGTCGTGACGGAATGAAGTGATGTGTAACTACCTGGGTAAGATATTAATATCATACATATGAAACATGAAGTTATCATTTGGTGTCGCACTAGCTATAAGCCCAAGAAAGAAGAAGAAGTGTGTAGTTGATGCCTTGTAAGGAGATGAAGAACTATAACTTCAATACCAACAACATAAATATGTAAGGATATGAAGAACTATTGACTTCAATTCAATGTCAACAACATAAACACATCAAATGAAACTATCATTTGACTCACCCACACCAGATAGATAGAAGTAGAAGTAGAAGTAGAAGCCCCAGAAACATATTCGAAAAACCAGACACCTAGTTCAAGCATCCTTGATACTACAACTGGCAGAACCGAATAAGACGATATGTAAACATCAATAAGGCTTTTGGTAGATTCAATAGTATTATATAATAACATAACATGACATAACATAAAATAACATAAACAAGAACGAAGCCCACTCGAAGCTTTTGCTTTGGTATGCTTTTAAATCCGGGTGAAGTACGAGTATGTGAACTTTTAAGTGATGTGATGTGATGTGATGAGTTGTTTGTAGGAAAGGGAAGATAGACAGTACAGTATAGATATATTTGATGGTTGAGGATGTTGGCATGAGATACTACTCGTAGGTATATATGGACTACCTATACCTAGTATGGAGGATTTGTGTGTTTGGAATGAGTGATGAATGAATGATGAAGAGAAATCAACAACAGAAAAGAAAAGAGTAGAGGAGAGGGATATATATGGGTATATATATACTCATTTTTAATATACTCCAGTACTATAGGATAGATATGGATATATTTATTATACCTAATTATACCCACCTCAAACAACACCTTGTTGGATACCCACCTACCTCTCAAATTTATGCTGTTACTGTAATATATTGATACCTTGTTGGATACCTACCTACCTAGGTATCTATCAAATCATAATTACCTATCATTTATATCTTTTACCAACTTTATCACATCTCGGTCTGGACTCTGGTGTTATGTTACGGTCTACAATAATCATCTATCTATCAATATTCTACCGCGCATTGCATTAAATTGCTACAACAACCATCCATCTATCGTTACCATATCATCTTCGATAATATCTTGGCCATGACTTACTGTTCCTTTGCTGGAACACCCCCAAGCCTCTATCAATCTATCTTGAATGTGTTTTGTTGGCCACGCATGTTGGTTTTCGGTGTATCTTAATACCTCGAGAATACTTTTCTGCTCTTCGGTATCTGTAAATTGTTCTCCGCCTGTGTACAAATACTGTTAATCAAAGCCGACACTTGGTAATGAAAAGAAGAAGACTTACACATGGAAATGGCCATACATGCGGTGCTCATGGCGGGTGGAGACCGATGATTTGATATTGCCACACCGCAGAGACGTTGAACCATCGTGTTGATTTGTGCCTATAGAAGGTTAGGATAACAATTGGAGTCATATGCAGAAAATAGTACCTCTATTCTTTGGCTAGCTGCTCGATGACCTGGTCCTAATCTAGGTACTCGCGGGTTGTAGGTTGTGAGTAGGATCTGAGAGATATCCATATGTTGATGAGCGGTGACTAATCTCCCCAGTGAGCGTCATATTGTCCCAAGTCACCAGGAATAACTTACCATGACAATCAGATACATACCATATCTCAGGGAAAGCCTGTCTTGTATTCACAGCCGCACCTCTTTCATACAGTGCGTCGAAGGATTGTGGACGTAACTTTTCCCAAGCTTCATGATACTGAACTAACATGTCGTAATCGCTATTGGTTTTACTGCCGGAGCCGTAGCAGTATTGTAAAATATCGGCGCAATGAACGATAGTTCGATAGGCCCAGGTATAATCGTCTGCGTATTCGAAGGATCGATATTCATGACACTGTAAAGGCATATGAAAAGATCTTTGTCTGACAAATGCCATATGAACTTCCTGTCTATACGCCACGCGAAAGGCAGCTCTACGGAGACTGCTATCAAGACTTCCTGATGCTTGAGCTGTAATGAATCCTTGAGTTACTCTCTGTGCCGTCTCCCCTTCTCCACCAATCAAAGGGGCTGCAATGTATGATTAGTCAAAAAGCATTACTTCGGTTGGTTCAGGAAAGCAAACCGTCTACTTCTTCATAGAATCTTAATATCACAGAAGCCACCAATAAATTTTCATCATACAGAGCCTCTAGATCATCGGATGCAGATACAAGATGCTCAATACATTTGCGATGGTATTCGATAGCAGTCTCCACATGTAGGTTAAGTAACTTTTTCCCTTGATATTCGACCACACCATTCTTTTGGTACTGCCCGAGCCGACAAAGGTGTCTGGCGGATGCTGTATATATAGCATTGAGAAGTGCTGGACAGTGCTTCGCTCGATGTGGGACTACTAAAGCAAAATGACGCTCTGGGTCACAAAGGTCAAACTGGAAAGAATTGTAAGCGAGTAGAGCCTTTCGTTTAGAGATGTACACACCCAACAAGCCAGTTCATCTACAAAATACCTCAAAAGGCAGGCTTCCTGTATAGACTGTGTTTCCGACTGATATAGCCCATCAACATCTGCGATTTGGATGTTCAATTTTTGGGGAAAGAATGTAGATGGGTCCCATCCCAGTGGTGGCTGGGGCACAACTCTATCCAAAATGCTCGATTCAGTGAGATCTCCGTTAAATTTTGCAGGTCTTCTTGGGTAGGACTTGACATTTGAATGTTTAATTGAAACGCATGACCTGTCATCATCTGCCCTCTGCCTCTTCCCTGGAGACTTTGCCTGATTCCTGGGAAAAGAATCTCTAGATGCTTTTGTACGAGATGTACTAGCTGATTCTATCAAGCTTTTGGAGACAATAGATTGAGGGGTTTTACTCCGCCGGGCAGTTGTATTTGGTGTAGCAGTATTTTCACGCTTTGGTATTGTTGTATATATCTCATATAATTCGGGGAGCTCGTCGACAAATTCGGAACAGACTAGATAATAGTATACGTGAGTATGAACAGCAATAATTGACCAATACCACTTACTTTTTCCAGATGTTTTCACCCATACATGATCCTTGAAATCGGAATCGTAACGGGCGCTGGAGCCATGACGAAAACGCAGGTTTCCAAATGAGTGTGGAGAGCTCGATTCGGAATTTCCCTCTTCTGAGCAATCGTGTTAGAGGTAACTATTAATTTTTGGATAAAATTGACTTGACAAGAAATCAAACGATCAAGACTTGACAATTTAGTCAAAATGCGTCTTGCTGCTCTGACTGTGCTACAGAAAGCGAAGGTAGGGTGCTGCAAACCATCTAATGCACTTACCGATGTGGTTCTGCTCAAGCGCAGAAATCCTAACATTCATATATTAGCCAAGTTCGATTTCGACAATGTTGAGTTGCACTGTGCTGTATTCAAAACAGTATTTGGCGGTGAGATTACTTAGGGCTTGACATTGAAATCTAAAAGTATCCTCAATATTCTCGTGGACCAGTATCATCCCTATATTGAATCCTCGTGGTAAACAGCATTTGAAATTGCACAAAGCTGAATGGTTGCAAAACAAAAGCCTGCCAAAATCACTGTACCGTGGTAAATTGTAATAGAATGATATAGATATTGAACAGAACTGTAATAATAGTGTTCTCTTCTACGAGTTATGTGGGAGGGTGGGAAGACGTGGGGAAATGGGAAACTGGGGTAATAGAGTGGGTGGGGGGTTGGTAGCGGGCCTTCAGTTACCGGTGGAAGCGGGTGGACTAACGGCTTCGGATATTTATTGGCTCAGGGCTGGCCCTAGAAGCTCTAAGTTTTGTACTACCTACCTACCTTGACTCATGGAGAGAGTCCTACCGGTAGGTTATCTCTGTACTTCTCGTGATCAAAGATAATACCTTTAGCTCTTCTGTCTCCTTCTCATAAGTGCAAAATGCTCCTTGATCATAACATATCTTTAATCTCATCTGTTGAAAAGAAAAACATAGTAGTACATAGTGAGTCCATAGTGAGTACCAGTACTATCTTGAGGGTTCCGTATAGCACACTTTTCTGATCTTCCCAAGTTTTCCTCCTTTCGCAACTGACATGGGGAGCAAGTCACGAAATTGGCGTGTTAATAACACGCCAAGAACCGAAGATCTTCCGATGGTCAGTATATAAATCTGCAAGATGACTGATTAATGATTGAAAAGTTGATTCGAGGGTAGTTTCTTGATGCAAAGACCTTCCCGAATGGAAAAAGATATCAGGGACCCGATCCATTCTCGGCAACCTGCGATAGGGGGCTTCATTTCATTGTCAGGTGACCTGAAGTGAATGAATGCCAGTGTTTGTGTTTGCCAATCTCTCCCCGGACATGGAAGATAATTATTAGTTTTTGACCGGCGATATTAGTAGTACAAGGTACGTACTCTTATTAGATAATTAAAGCCATCACATGACTATTCACTCCATTTGGTTCTCGTGGGGATAAGTATTGTTATTGCATATTACATAGCCTTTGTTGACATGGCTATGGCTCGCTGGTTGTCCCTGATACAATTACAATTATTAATCAATAATTCAATCCAATTTGTTTCATTTTGATAGAGCAAGGCTAGGAATCCCAGTTGGGATAAATATGTATGTGTGGAACTAAGATAAATAGTAAAACAGTGAACATGAACACAACACCAGCAGGTAAATAAACACTCGCTCGTACTAGATTTTTATATAATATCAGTAGGAGCATTGGCATCATACTTTATGCAGTGAGTGATAGGTAAGGAACAGAAGACCAAGGCTAATAATAAATACAATCCAATGTCCAAGACTCCAATCCCTTTGTGGGTTGGGTTGGATTGGGTTGAGATATTTATCTATCTACTGAGTAAGTTGAAATTAGAGGAATGTTTCGAAACATTCTCACCAAACCCTTCAAGTCCTGTAAACCTCAAACACTTTCCCACTTTCCCCTCCCTCCCCCCAAAATGATGTTTGTCTTTTTCTTCAATCATTTAATAAATCACATTAATTCAATTGATTGTTAATTCAAATTGATTGTTGAAATTCATTCATTATTGGACATCTCCTTTTTCCTGATTCCTCTTTTAGACTTTGCTTTTCCAATACGAGTAGAATATGCTACTCGTACATATTGTACAACTCCGGACCCTTTTTAACCAAACTTACCAAATATACCAAACCAAAATCGATAAGACCTCATTTCACATCTAATTGTTGCTTAAGTAAAAGCTTCGAGACTACCTAGACCGTGTATCCCCTTTAACGGCTTTGCTTTGACGGTACCGGTACCGGTAACTCCAAGGCTTCCAGAATAAGTTCATTAATCTACATTTCTTGACTATCTTTTCCAAACGGCCACCTTGACATTCCTCTATCTCGTTCGTTTGCAATGAGATGAGATTTTGTACTGTCGCTTTTGCGCCATTGAATCCGATGAATTCCCAATCATAGATTGCCAAATCTACTCCAATGACAGTGCTTAAAGACGCGCTTTCGCGATCCGATACATTTTTGCGACCCCAGTCGGAATATATTTCGAGTCCCGGCGTGCAATCCGATGATTCTACACCTTCAACGCCAGATAAAGATCAAGAACGCAAACCACGAATTGTGCGAAAACCTTCGCCTGGTCTTGCTGCTCGACTTGCAGCGTTAGGATTTGGGAAAGACCCCGATCCAAATTCGACAACAGCATCACCAGTTGAACGAATTGGCCGTATCCCTGAAGATCAACTTCGCCAGCTTGACCACCTTCACCGCGCTAATTCTACGAGTTCGCACATTCACAGACGAGGTCGAGCTTGGAGTGGCAGTATCGGTCTCTTAACCCCTCAAGTCACTGGTGGTAGCTTTAAAGAAACCAACCTTAGAGAGATCAAGATTGGTGACACGCGAGTACTCGACGGTACCACCCATTCAACACCTTCGCTTGATAGCTTTGGTAATCAGGATATGACAACAGATGTTGACCTTATAGGAATGGATTCGCAGAAGTATCGATTACCGGAACATACAAATGGAAATGGCACAAAAGCAATGGCAGATATAAAGCAGGCGCATATCGAACGAAATGTAACTCCTGTGGACGACATCACAATACCTTCTTCACCTTCTGTAGATAATGACGAAATACCTCCACCTCCAATAGCTAAAGATACTCCACCAGGCGCGATCACACCCAGCGAATCTTCGAACGATGTCTCATCCTACTTCAACCCCTTCGGTCATCAACGGGCAGGCTCAATTTATACATTATCGCGGGCTTCCTTTGCAAGTCAACTTGCCCAATTGACGTCTTTGCAACTACCAGATGCAGCCTCGTTGTCAACGAAAGTATCCGCAATTCCTAGCTCGAAATCCGCCTCGAAGGCATTAATGGGAGCCGCAGAACAAATTAGGAGTTGGATATCGAAGGCATCGGATGTCGTCTCTGGCCTTGATGGTGAGGACGATGTGGAATGGGCAGCAGCTGGTGGTAGGGAAGGATTAGAAGAAGTTAATAATGCGATTACACGTTTCGAAAAGTTAATTAATGTATACGTCTCAGCCATCGAGTCCTTGCAAGAACGCCCGGATATCGCTACAGTACCTGCAGACGAACTTCAGAAGGTCGTACTACAGGTGGAAAGTATTCTTGAGGAATGGGAAAAGATAAGGAGGAATCTCAAAGGTGTGAAGAACTCGGTTGAGATTGCTATGGAATGGGAGGAATTATGGAACACAGTATTGGGAGATATAGGCAACGAAGTGGATATTCTGGCGCGACTCGTTTTTGAAATGGAGGAAAAGAGACACAAGTCTTTAGCAGAAGCCGATAGCGACGGGGTTGATATCAAAGAGCTTGAGACAATCGTGGAAGAAACGCCCCCATCCAAGACGAGGTTACAGATCAATAGTCGGTTTGGCATGTCCTCTTCAGCAACCTTTCCTTTGAGTCCGAATTCGCCTGTGATGCCGATAATGGCACAAGACGATTCGAGTCTTTTGGCATTGTTTGCAAGAATGCAGCCTCTAAGAGCTTCGTTGGACTTCTTACCCATGAGACTATCTACGTTTCATGCCAGAGCCGAAGCAATATTTCCCACAGCCTGCGATGAGCTGGAAAGTCGACGAGGGGGTTTGGAGAAAAGCTGGAAGTCTCTCGAAAAGGATGCCGAATCACTGCGAAGAGAACTTGGTGAAGATCGTTGGGTTCTCGTCTTCCGCGGTGCGGGTCGACAAGCACAAAAGATGTATGAATCAGTGGAAAGAAGTTGTGCCAAGCTGAGGGAGTCTCTTGACAATGGGGTCCATCTGAACAATCCGGCTACAATGGGCAAAAAGATCGAGAGTTATGAAGCGAAGAAGATGCATTATGGTCCAGCAATTGAACGAGTTCTATCAATTATTCAGAAAGGAGTGAAGGACCGCCTCACGGTTAATGGCGAGATTTTGAGATTACACTCAGATATGCAGCAGAAGTGGGATTCACTGAAAGACCAGATGAACGAACTAGACACAACACTTGAAGAACTCCAAGCAGATCGCAGAAACCAGCAGCTCAGGGATTCAATGTCAAGCATGGTTTCGAACGATCGCTCAACTATTGGAAGCTTCACCAACGACACACCAGGAAGTTCTCCAGCATCCTCAGTCGTAATGTCGGGGTTGAGTAGCAAGCTTGACCCTGCGACACCTGCTAAAAATGGGAAGATACGTTCCAGTGGTAGAACTAGTCAAGCCCACGCTGGAACAAGAAGAAACTTGAGTGTTGGACAGCCTTCTAGGTCGTTTAGTCGAGCATCCCCATCCCCCATTCCTTCCCGACAACGCTCAGCAACTCCAACAGCTCAACCCCCCCGACCTTCCAACACTCCCAGTGACAATCGTCCTCGCTGGAATGCCAGTACTAACACCAATGAAACTACACTCATCGGTCATGGCTTCAAACCTCTCGGTACCACAACGCCAAGTCCTAATTCACGTCCACCCCCTTCTACCCTTTCGAACCGTTCCACCAGATCCTACACATCTGATTCGAAAATACCACTCCGAAGTCCGCTCGGTCGCGGAAGTACCGCTTCTCCGGCCATACAAGAACCCACAACTCCCTCAGGAAACAGACCTGCTTCGCGAACAGTTCGACGTGACCTCTCTACGCCTGGGCCATACTCTCAACAAACATTATCTATGAGCTCACCACCCCGTTCCCGTCTTCTTGGTAGCAAGTCATCCATGGCCAATCTCATAGGCGGTAACCGTCGCTCCTCGATGCAACCTTCGTATTCATATGAAGCCAGAGCTAGTAGTCCGGTAGTCCAAAGATCTGCTAGCTCATTGGCTACCAGCAGAAGAACAAGCCTTCTTCCCACCCAAAGAGGCAGAAATTCGGAAATGGATGGTAGGGATAGTCCCGCACTAAACAGAGGTAGCAGCTCCTCTACCACTGATAGCAAAGGAAATTCTAAGAAGCAATGGAAGTCTTAGAGCCTTTCAGCAATCACCGTATATGGGTAGCTGGGCACCTTTGATTACGCCAGGCGTTCAATCATTGGAGCTGCATTTAACACAGCATAGTTTGTGGGCGTTCTTTTATTTCTCCATCGCACCCATTATGAAACGCGAACCTTTTAGCAAATGTATTTTTTTTAATGCAGTGGAAGCTTTACAACGTGGATGGAGCATTGAGGAGTTTAAATGGTATGGTGGAGAGGTGCCGGCGCAAGATTTCATAATCCACATTTGAAGAGTAGAGAGCCGCGATGTGATGAAATGGGATGTGACGAATTGGCATTGGGATTTGGAGGTGGAGGTGGTGAAGGGGCTGCGTGAGAAGAGAGGCCAAGGGAGGAGAATGATACCATTACTTGTATGATAGTTCAACGTAGGATTAATTAGCGTAGCGAAGCGAAGAAGACTGTGATACCCTTTTACTATGCTCAGTACTATATCACTGATTTTCCTTTCCGCTTGATGGGTAAAATGAATGCGCAATGAGCTATCCGTATCTAATGACTTGCTACATGCAAATTCCACAGTCTTGATTCATCATATCATATAAATATCGAACGAAAGCGAAGTAAATTTCTTTTAGTTATACGAGTACTATAGTCGTTCACAATTCCCCACTACTCCAACTACTAGTACTAGGTACTCCACTTCAGAATCGGGACCAGGTGAAAAGTGGGGTGTCCTTTCGTCACTTTCTGACTTTCTCCGTTTAACCCCAGCTTTGGGTTGTGGGCCTCTTAAAGTCATTGATTATGCCCCCTCCGGTTTATTTGAAGTGAAGCTTGTTAACGTTGCTTGTCACTTTATCTTTTTGGTTTGTACTGTACCTACCTATGTATCGGAGTGTTTATATTTGCTGGATATCTGCTTTGTGGTCTGACTTAGCTATTTAACTAAGAGGAATTGAGTAAAGATGACGAAGATATTTAAGGGTTCAGAAGGTAATGTATATTTCCCGCACCTCATCTCTACCTATCTCAGTTTCTTCCCTATGCTTCATTTACATATTCCTATACTCACTCCTATTCAATTATTCCATTTCTCTTTAGCATCTATTCCAGTAAACTAATCAATAACCCATAGTCTCATCCCACAACACCCCCGATTCCTGTTGGGTATGCATCAACTCAACCATCTACGACGTAACCGATTTCTTGCCCAACCACCCAGGCGGTTCCAAAATCGTCCTCAGTCTCGCCGGTAACATAGATGCCACGGAAGAATTCGAAATGATTCATCCTCCCGGAACACTCGAAGAGAATCTCGACCCTTCCAAAACAATCGGCAAGATTGAAGCTTCGGAACTAAGACAACCAGTTCAAGAGAAGAAAAAGAGTTCAAATGTTGAAGATGCGGGGAAGAAAGAGGAAGAGGATACGATTGATGTGGATTCGGATGTAAAGACGCTGTTGAATCTAGACGAGATTGAACAATTGGCTACGAAGAAAATGTCTGGTAAATGCTGGGCGTATTATTATTCGGCGGCTGATGATCTTTGGTCCAAGAATTTCAATAATGCCGTATATCGACAGATTCTCCTGCGTCCACGCGTCTTTGTCGATTGTACGAAATGCGATTCTTCAAGCACGATCCTGGGGGAGAAAATTGGATTGCCGATTTTTGTATCGCCGGCTGCAATGGCGAGATTGGCGCATCCGGCGGGAGAACAGGGGATTGCAAAGGGCATTGCCGGGTTTGGTGCAGTGCAGATTGTGTCGAATAATGCGAGTATGACGCCGGAACAAATTGTGGAGGGGTCGTTACCGGGACAGATTTTTGGATGGCAGTTGTATGTGCAGAATGATAGGAAGAAGAGTGAGGTGATGTTGCAGAGGATTAATGCCATGAGTGATAAATACAAGTTTATCGTTTTAACGCTGGATGCGCCGGTGCCCGGGAAAAGGGAACATGATGAGAGACAGAAGGATGTAGGAGCTAGTTTACCGGTTTCGTCGGGAATAAAGGCTAAGGAGAAGCTGGAGGATAATAGTCCGCCGGCCGGAGCTGGGGGTGTGGGAAAACAATTGTTTATGGGCACAGCGGCGGATTTGACTTGGAAGGCTACACTGTCGTGGTTGGCCAAGCATACGAAATTACCGATTGTACTGAAGGGGATTCAAACTCATGAAGATGCGTATTTGGCATCGCAGTATGCACCGCAGGTTAAAGGAATTCTCCTTTCGAATCATGGAGGGAGGGCTTTAGATACAGCGCCTCCGGCTATTCATACACTCCTCGAGATACAAAAATATTGTCCAGAGGTTTTGAGTAGGATAGAAGTTTGGGTCGATGGCGGTATCAAGAGGGGTACGGATGTAGTGAAGGCTTTATGTCTAGGTGCCAAGGCTGTGGGTGTTGGAAGAGCTGCGCTGTTTGGTCTTGGGGCCGGTGGACCGGAGGGCGTGGAGAGAACGTTTGAGAGTACGTATTTCATGTTCATTTATTCCTGCAGTGCTCTCTCTATCTTGAATCATGATGGGAATAGCTATTGGAGTATTTGCTAACACACATAAAATAGTTCTCAAAACCGAAATGGAAACTTGTATGAGACTTTTGGGCGTAGAGAAGGTTAGTGAATTGGGTCCGAAACATGTTAATACTAGAGCGGTAGAAAGGGATCTGTATGATGGTAATGCCGGGTTGGAAAAAATGGGGTTGTGGGTTAAAGCTAATTTGTAGATTCTGGGCGGAGGGGGAGCGAAGAAGAGTGAGGATGTTTGTGGGTGGGTTGTGGAGTAGTCGTAATGTGTATGTGGTATATCGTTGTAATTAAATGAATAAGAGAAGAAGAGATTCATATTATATTATATCATAATATCAGTGGCTCATGAACTCATTGATGTCTGTCTGTCCATCCTTTAAACTTGTGATATAACCAGAACCTGGACCGAGTGAGGGGTCGTCTATTTTGGTTTCTTGGATTCTTGAGATGCTACTGTACAATAAATTGTACAACGACATGGCTATATACTCGTACTCGAGTAGTATACCAGTATGCAATTAGAAGATGAAAGATCCGCTTCTGTATTTGGAATGGAATACTCGAGTAAACGATATATATATAAGGCTTAGAATTTGAACTTTACTGTAGATGTCATAATTTATGATGTATGTATACACGAGTAACTACATACTCGTAGATGAGTTGTTATGCCCTTGCTAGTTGCTAGCAGCTACTCGTTTATTTTATTTATTTACTGTACTCGAGTACTCATATCTAAACTAAACTGTGCTGTACAGTAAAGTAAGTACGTACCCCTCCCTCCATATCATATATTGTATGTTATGATTGTATATCTGTCACTCTACTTACTATAATAGTGTACTCTATAGCTTATATGTAAAAATAAATCAAAAGACGAGCCGTTTGATTTGAAATGTATTGCGCCGGCCGGGCAGCTATATATATATATATATATTTCGGGGTACATATTCAGGATTACGGAAAATTTGGCGTTCGTGTCCGAGTGAACGAGTGAGTAGTTTTGAGATTGGTGTTGGTGTGATAAGTGGAAATGGATACAGCAATATCCCAATGGGATTGATTAAAAAGGTAGTGAGTGAGTGAGTTGATTGATTCGGATTTTGAAATATACACACGGGAGACGTTCAGACTTTCCCCCCAAAAAATACAGAATAAAATGGATGGAGAAAGGAAAGTAGCAGGGTGTACGTGGATCCAGATTGAAAATATGAGCAAGTGCTCATGAGTAGCTATGAACTTATTTTATACATCACTCCCACACACCCATCCATCACAAGCTGAAACGACAGAGAAGCCAAGGGAGATGCAACAATAACCAATGAAGAAAAATGAGGAGGGATGATAGTAACGCCCGTCTCAATATCAGCAGTAATCGTACCATTCCCAGCACGTTCAGTGCAACACCCAACAAATTATTGATCTTCAATTCCCATCATCACGCACCACAAAAAGAAGCTCGCGGAAATGAATTTGTGGTGATGAATAAAATGGTAAACGGCGTGGCGTTCCAGTATACCTATTTTGTTTCATTCATTGATTGATGACCAGGTGGCCGGGTCGTGTATAAAAGACTTGAAATATTCCTGATGAGTTTCACTGCAGCATCTTCTATAGCACTGCATCCGCTCTCGATCCTGCAGTCTGCCGACGAATGTTCCGAAACGATCCAGTCAATTGGATTCCAGATCATCTCAAATCATCGCCATGTTCCCGAATCTTGCACTCGTCTCCCTGGGCATACTCGTGACCTCGACATTTGGCATCGATGTGACTATAAATTCCATCCTCGACGCCGAGATCAAAGTTGCTTCTACCCAGCTCGACAAGATGAACTTTCTGTTGAATAACAATTTGACTTGGTTCTTCGATTTCACCACTCAGCCCCACTACACCTACACGCCCGGTTCCGTCGTCAACGCTGATGCTGCCACATTCCCTGGTTCAACTAGTTACGGTATGACGATAGCGTTAATTAACTTGGGGCCATGTGGAATGTTACCTCCCCATTACCACCCACGCGGGACGAACTTTGTGGTGGCAGTCGAAGGTGTGACACAGACGTGGATGATTGAGGAGAATGGGGCAAAGATCGTCAATCAAACGTTGAGGCCGTGGCAGATGACAATTTTCCCGAGGGCAAGCATTCACAGTATGCAAAATATAGGTACTGTATGTCCTCATAGACTGAGACAATCAATACTGAATGCAATCAAGGATGCACTAACGCAACTCTTGTGTCGGCGCTGGATTCGGAGGACGCAGGAACACAGAACATTCTTAATGGGTTTGCACAATTGCCGCCGGATATAATGGCAGCAGCTTTTGGCAATCCATCAGGAGGATTCAATCTTCCTCCTATACCAGATGTTGGCACTGGCAGTATACTTGGATCTGCAGCGTGCCTGGCAGCTTGCAAAGGGAAAATGTGATAGCGAGTCTAGAGTCGTTCAACTGTGAGTGATTAATCTCCCAGCGTTTCATCGGACTTGATAGTGACGTCGCAGCATATGTCTTGTTCAATGTTTTGTTGTAGTGGCGTTTGCTGATTGGGAAATATACAAATCTGGCGTTGTGGAATATTGTTTGTAGGATTTATGCGGCGATTTGAGGTTGACCAAACTTGAGATACCTAGTGACTGTGTAAAGTATACTGATAATTATCCTGCTTGCCTTGGTGCAATATATGTATACGTAGTACCGCATGTTTGCCATAAGAGTCTGAGACTGACTATCAAGGTTGGTCAAACGAGAAGATGATGCTTCGAATTATGCGTTCGGAGGGTATCATGAATCCATAGCGCTCTTTACTTGCCTCCAAACTTTTTTGCGACCCAAGCACTTCCATATTCGTCATACTCTTGCTTCGTTACTGATAGCTTCTTCAGGAGATCGGGATGTTTCGCCAATTCGGCTCCACCATTCCAAGTGCTGATAATTGGATGTTCTGGTCTCGCACAACGAACATAACACTCCGCCGGTGCAAGAGCTTTGATCTCAAGCTGAAGCCTTAGAATAAATCCTTCTATCTTCGAGCTACCACCTACAACAATGACATTTGCGAGAAGAGCTGGCCATAGACCCATTGGTAAAGATGAAAGACTTTCCATCACTAGTTGAGCTACGCCTGATTGTCGCATACCAATATCTGAGGGATTGAATAGTAATTCGGGGACCGTGAATCTTTCGTTTCTCAAAGTCAAAATATCTTCCGCAGCTTCCGCCAGTTTCCCCTTGGTCAATTGCTTCAACTTGCCCGCTTGTAATGGATCGTGGTCTCGCACGAAACCTTGAGACCGATTATGATAGTCGGGGAGAACATAGTCTTTCGCTATTCCACCACCCGTCTCGAAGATTTCTCTTCGGTCTCCTCTGGTTCCTTTCCATGTTTTCTCCATATCGCCATTGAAATCCCTTGATACATAACAGCATGCCTCCTTGATCTCGTTGACCAAGTAGGTGTCATTACGCATGTCATACTGTCGTAAAGATATTAAACGTGTCAAGTAATTTGTCATAAGCTTGCCTCCCACTTCTAACCTTCGGATCGCTGATTGTAAAGGGCGACCCTGCAGAACAGGTGTGATTGTCGTGTGAGAATATCCGGCATCGATGAGAAGGATTATTTCGGCAGGAAGAAGAGGTTCCGGTGGATCTCGAGCTTGCCCTTTGAATAATGCTTGAATATCATTATACGCATTAAGAATTGGACCTGTATATTCATTAATACTAATCTGCATACACAGCATGAAATCACAAACCAGGGCATCGGTAGTAGCTAGCAAAACCAAATTCCTCAAACACCATTTGATCACAATTTGTCTGCAGAGCCGGTAGCGCATTAGGAGCCTCTGTTAATATTAATCCCGTTTCTCGTGGATCGCAATGCAGTGGCGCTTTTTTGTCGAAGAATTCGTGCTCCCATATTTCCTTTTCTGCCTCCCAGTTCACCAAGTACCCCTTCTCGACGGGCCTACGAAAAACGATGTCGCCGAAATCCTTACAATTTTCGAGTTGCGATCCAATATAAACCTTCTTTTCGCGGTCGCGGGCCATGCAATTGGGTATGATTCGGGGCGAATCCGTGGATTCTGGGGACGAGAACCCGGCCTTTATGGTGTAGGCTCCATTATCAACGACTAGAGTTCTAGCAGGCGGTATTTGAGCAGCCGATGCTGCTTTTCGGTTTGTAGACATTTTTTTATCGTCCAGGTTTGGACTGGGAAATGTCAGCACATTATTATGGTAAGGGTAAGTAGAAGTTGTTGGTGGTTGAAGCTACAGTGGTTGGGCGTCGCGTCGCGCTGCATGGTAATCGCGTAGGAAACCCCCACCAAAAAAAAAAAAATTAGTTTTCAGGCCCAGGTTTCTCAACCGTAACTGTTGATTTAACACGTCAATGGCTAAAACCGACAAGAAAGCTAGCGACGATCTGGCCATTCTAAAATCGACCGTCGAGACCATCAAAAGTTTGATTCAACAGCTGCAACCCTCTGCCAAAGCGCCGGAAGATGTCAAGGAGGGGTCGTCGTCCGAAGAGCAACCCAAGCTTGCGGATGTCAATGCCATCGACCTTGCTCATGATTCTGCAAGTCTCATTAAAGCACACTCGACGAAGCTGTCTCTCTTGATCATCAATAAGCCTTTTACGGCCTCAGCAATCAACAAAGTATTGCGAGAACTTGTGGCTGGACCCCTACCGGGCTTGGCGTCTGCCGTCGAAATCTGTAATGCTACCAAATATACGAGGGCTATGAGTGAAGAGTTACAATGGAGAGTGAAGAAGGTCTTGACGGAGCTACATACGCTCGTTGACGCAGTTCCTCTGGATGGGAAAGTTTTGAGCGATGACAAGAAGAATGGTACCGGGAAATCGAATGGGAAGGGTAGTTTGGCTTCAACAGGTGTTGTATGGGATGCCTGTGATTCTGTCATGGGTTTGAAGACTTTAGGTGTAGCAGGATTGGCTATCAAGAAAGCAGAGGAATATCGAGATTTGGTTAAGGATGCGCTCGAAGAATTGCAAGCATGGGCGGAGGAGGAATCAGATGACGAAGAAGACGAAGAAGACGATGATGAGAGCAGTGGTGATGAAGATGACGAGAAGAAAGATCCTCAAGATGTTGTGGATGATCTGTTTGGATCGCAGCCACATATACCTAAGGACGACCCGGAAAAGATCCGCGAAAAGCTCGAATCATCGACGAAAAGACTGAGACTCGTAGTTTTGATGTATCAAGCGGTCGTGAAGAGAAGGTTCAAGACACTCCCCTATCTACCTCATCCTATGTTACCTGCACAGTTGAAGGAGAAATCTTCAGAAGATCCAGGTATTGTCGAGTGCTTGGATGAGGTACTTGTACGGATGAAGAAAATTACCGATCTCACGGATGATCTAGCAAGTGCCTTCTATGAGCTCGATAGCGCTGCAATTGATAAACTCATGGATGAGACTTGGTTTACGGGTTTTGCTACGATTGAGTTGCTAATCAAGAATTGGGAGGGGCAGAAGGATGACTTTACTACTTGGGTAAACATTATCTTCTTAGAAAATTTGTATTTCTCGCTAATGATTATAGGCCTATAAATTCCAACTTGCTATGAGAAAAGGCTGGTGATGTAGCTAGACCAAAGAATTTAGAGAACTATCCTCTCTCCAGCCTGCTCAACCAGATTTGGCGTCGATCACATTGGGCCATGGTGTTCTGTCTATGCTATGGGGTTTGGGCGATCTATTATAAATCAGCAAATGGGTGCACCTGAGGATCAGTTTGGATCTCGCTTATTTTCAGATGATGAGGGATGTCGTCAAAAGAAAAATGCTTTGCTTTGATTTTGATTTATATATAACATAGAAAATATATGATACCCCGAAGCAATACAAGACGACTTTTCACATCTCAGAATATCAATCTGAATTGAAGTATCTAGCGCGTGACAAGGTTCGAAAAGCGGCAAGGGTTACTGAAGTTCCTTCTAGGAAGATGATTCAACAATCCTTCACGGAGCTGCAGGTTCTTTTTTTTCAGGAGCACTTTTACATCTCTGAAATCTTTTGCTGCCTCCTTCACTACTCTTGCTGTGCTAATCACTCACTCACTCACTTTCGTATATACTTCTTCGTCTATCTGTTCCTTTCGCAATCAACTTCTCCTGCATATGGTCGTTGTTTTAGGTGCTTGTATAATACAATCGCCAACGCAGCTTATGCACCCCATGTCTCGGTTACCACAACGCGAGATACCCCGAAGTCTGATGCCAAGATGAAGACCAGGTACCCCACTTCCCCATAAACAGCTATCTGCTTCCCCATGGGATGGATAAATTGCTCCGGTCGGCTTATTTAAAAAGTGCATGCATGCATGTCTACGGCCAGACGGGCGAGTTGGGGTGAAGTGCACAATATTTACATATCTGCTTTCCTAACCTGTGCAAGAAGTGGGATGTGGCTTGTCCAGCACAAGATTATTTCTTAAAAATTCCTTTCCTCTTGGATCACTGAAACTACAACCCAGAATCCAAGATGAATATGCCCAGCTCCATCGAAGATCCTCAAAATGTGCCTCCAGTATCCAAGGCCCAGAGGATGGCCCAACCATTCCCACAACCAGAGCCTGACATATCCCATATTGAACATGTGCTTTCTTCAGGAATTGAGAAACCAGATCATATGGATTTCAGGCGTGTTAATTCCGAAGTTGCCAAATATACCAGCGGGGTGCTGATTCCCATAAGCGATGAAGAAGATCAACGGCTCAGGAAACTCATCGATAGACGAGTGTTGATAATAATGATCCTGACTTACTTTATACAAGCGTTCGATAAAGGAACGCTGGCATTCACATCGATCATGGGAATTAGAGCAGATGCTCATGTGTCTGACCAACAGGTATGTATTTGATGGTTCTCTCTAACATGAACATTTGCTGATATGGATGCAAGTATCCATGGCTCACAACGTGTATTTATCTCGCAATTCTGGTCGTGGAATACCCCACCAATTGGATCATCCAACGCGTACCAATTGCCAAATATCTAGGGATAAATGTCTGTATTTGGAGTATCATACTCTCCATGCATACCCTGTGTCACAATTTCGAAGGTCTAGTCATCGCTCGCACACTTCTGGGGATCTTTGAAGCAGCATGCCAGCCCATATTCGTCGTCTTATCTAGCATGTGGTACAAGAGAGAAGAACAAGCTGGAGTAGTTATATATTGGTACATGATGAACGTATGACCGTCCTTTCAACACTCGAATCCCGAGATATCTGATACTGATGATCCAAACAGGGCGCTCAACAAATCGTCGGCGGGCTCCTCGCCTACTGCTTCACCCTCCTCAAAACCGGGCCCCTCAGATCCTGGCAAGCCATCTTCGTCGCCTACGCCTGTTTCTCCTTTCTCTGGGGCATATTCATCCTAATCTGGATGCCCGACTCCCCTATGCGCGCCAAATGCTTCAGCGAAACCGATAAGAAACTAATGGTGGAACGTGTGCGTTCCAATCAGACCGGGATACAAAACCGCAGATTCCGCGTCGAGCATGTGAAAGATGCTTTTACCGATCCGCAAATGTATTGTTATGGTTTGATAGCCATTTGCACCACATTGCCAACGAGCGGGCGGGCGCATTTGCCAACATCATCATCACGGGATTTAGCTTCACGGTTCTGCAAACGCAGCTTTTGGCTATGGTGCTAGGGTTCTATATTATCATCGTATTACTGTCGAGCCATTATTTGGTACAGAAGTATAACCAGAATATTCTCGTCATGACTTGTTTCCTTCTGCCGTAAGTACAACCATTCGATATTGCCTCGCTTATGCTAATCTCAACACCTATATCCTTCATCGGCACCATAATTCTCATGACAGTCCGCAACACCAATCTCGGCACCAAAGTTGGCCTGCTAATCTCCTACTACATAACCCTCTCTTTCTGGTCAACTGCTACTCTTTCTTTGACCCTCATGTCCCGCAATGTCGCCGGCCAAACCAAGAAAACAATCGTCGTAGCTGCAAATTTCATATGTTGGGCAGCTGGAAATGCAATTGGCCCTCAAGTTTTCCTGAAGAAAGATGCCCTGCGTTATTTTATCGCATTCGCTACCCATATTGGTTGTTACACGTTACTTCTTCTAGTGTTGCTCTATCTGAGATGGCATTTGACGAGGGAAAATAGGAAGAAAGATGAGCTGGCTGAGGCGGGAGTGAGAGAGGCGAATGATCGGGATATGGTACACGCGTTTGATGATTTGACGGATAGGGAGAATCCTAACTTTAGGTATGTTTATTAGGCCAAGAGATGAAGAATGTTAGTATAGAGTATGTAGCTTGGCGATAATTGATTGTTTGATCAATGGTAATCATGACAAATGCATATTTTGTTCCCCAACTACGTTTCAAAACTATTTTTTATCTATCGAAGTGTGAAGAAATGAGAGCATAAACACAAGCCTTCACGACTTACAAAATTGGCCACTCCCCCAGCCATTAAGCTAGCTAAAGTATATTTATCCAGCATTCGAGGAGACAAAAGAAACGATGCGTCAAAGGGTTCATCCCAGACCGACCATGATGCTGATAAAGATACTATTGTACACGCTGTCTGGTCAAACATATTAAGACCAGGCGACAATATTGATGCCTTCCGCAAGCAGTCATGCTACATCCAATTTAATGGAAAGATGCGAGACCTTGGGCATCAACAGGCAGTTGTTGCATGCGCTGCTGGAAGTATGTGTCGTATCTGACTTCACCTTTGAGCAACGAAGCTGCGTCGACAACACCTGGTATCGTTCCGTTCTCCGTAGCTTTGGCTGTTTCAGTAGCTTTGATGTGATCGGGTTGAACTGATACAGGACTATGATCCCGTTAGCAAGCTAGTCTATATAGTCGCAAATAGAGGCTTACCCGTTCAATTCGCGATCAATTTGTAAGAATTCCTTCATAGCCTCCTTGGTGCCTCTTTCTTGTAGGTACATCAAGTATAGATTGCTGATGTTCTTCTTGGTAACCAATCTCATGGATGTCTTAATCATATCGCCATGAATCTGCTTGAGTCTCTCGTAATGTTCAGGTTCCGAGCCTGAATTGGTTGGCTGTGCCAATTCGAATTCTACATACTTGGTCCAGAAATGACGACTTTCTGGGTACCATTGCTTGTTCTTCTGGAAAACTTGACGAGCTTCGTCGACAGACCCTTGAATCTTCCACAATAAGACGGCCCATTCGACAACAAAAGCAGCCTTTGTATAGATGCCTAATGATGGTGAGTCAATCTGTGCTTTGTAGACTTCAATCGCGGCTTCGAGGCCTTTCTGGCGGCGTTCAAGATTGGCCCAGGAAATTATTGTCTCTACATGACCAGGCATGCGATCCAGAATGGCCTGGTGTATATCTCTTGCGACATCGACGCGACCGGACATCTCCTCAAAGTAGGCGTATTGCAGCCTAATACCGGATCTGCTGATTGGCGCATAAAGTGTACTTGCTCGCTGGTATATGTTTCTGACCTCTTCTTCCTTACGCTCCTTTGATGACATCCACCGAGCATAGCGAAACCAAAACTCATCGTAGAATGCGCAAGTTACTAAACATCTTTCATATAAGAAAACAGCACGGGTGTAATCACCCTCGGCCTCTTCAAAGTCCAGATATTTGCGCCAGTTTGCAATTTGTTGGTTATCGAGCTCGGTGACGTGGAAGTAAGGACGCTTGATCTCGGACTCATACGTCCAACGTTTTGTGGTTTCTCCTTGTGTACGAGCAAAAATTTCGAGATGAAAATTATCAACCTTGGTTCTGATGTCACGTTCAATCTCTAATTCACCCTTTGGTCCGGCCTGGAAACCGGCACTTTCGGATAAAACATCGGCGCGGAATTGTTCGAGAGTTTCGGCAGGAAGAAGCTCTGACAATGGACGGGCGTGAGCCAATTGGCGAAAGCGCTCGAAGTATCTGGCATATTGATGCATAGGGATCTTTACGACGCGGTTCAGTATAGCAAATATCTTATCTTGGGCCTCCACTCGGTCCTCAAATTCGAGATATTTATCCCAGAAAGGATGCGCAAGGAAGTCTAATCCCACGGCAACAGCTCCACGCTCGAAAAGCCTAGTTTAAAATGTCAGATGATCTTCATAGCTTAACGAGGGAGGAATGGAAAGGTGGCAAGGAGTGCAAATACGGGAAGGGCAGTGTGCTCAAATGCAATGATCTTCATATCCTCCTCCTGCCGACAATGTGTGTGCAGAGTGATACGGGGTAAAAGCGAACGTGGGATAGCAGAAAGAGAGATCCTGGTCATGTTGGTGAGAAGAGTCAAACACGAGCAGCTTTTGTTGGCATTTCTCACCGTTTGTGAGCCATGGAGACTCCGAACGTAGCCCAGATGGCTTGCCTGGCCATGCTGCAGATGCTGTGTTAAGGGAAGGAAAGCATCTAATATACTTACTCTCTGATCACATCAGGATCATGACTCGTCTCAACCTTGAAGGAACAATAATCCGTCCATAAATCCACAGATGTTGCGATGCTGGCAATGCCTCTCTCAAAAACCTAGAGTTCGTCAGCATATTAAACTCATTGTGATCCACCTTATCTTCAATTACCATCTCAGCAGCTTCTGTGCCAGCTATGGAGAATTCCAGATCCGCATACTTCTTCCAATATCCGAACAGGAGTGGGAATTTCGCAAGGAAGCGATCGTAAGATTCTCGAGTTGTTGCAATTGCTTGTGGACTCGAATTGCGATTTAACCCTCCTTCCAGTGTCTCTGCTGCGCGAACAAGTTTCTCCCAACTCTCGAAATTATCCGTATCTTCGAGCTATAGAAAGGACATTGATCAGCAATTACGCATGAATCAAATTAACCCAATACACTTACAACTTCGGCATTGAGCTTCTTGATCTCAGCAGACTCCTCGTCCGTCCCTCCGTAGTGAAAATCAGCCATCGTAGTCGCGTTATTTGTAATGAAATCTTCGATAAAAAACTTTTTTTCAAGGATATAGGATAAAACTGAGAAGTTTAAATTTTATGGCCCAGAGTTTGAGCCTTTGTGATTTATCAATGAAAACAGAAGATTGTTGTAAGTTTTAGTAAATGGTACCTAGGTAGAACAGTAAGCAATAGTTTTGCATGCCTCAAATTTCGGGGAACAATTATTAGAATGGAACAGGTTTAGCTTCACGCTAATCAATCTTGGTCCATGCCCTCCACCTTTTAAAAGTTTCTTTCATCGAAAATTTTAATAATTATCATGGCTAATGATGAACGATACAAAGTATCAACAAATAGGAAGAGAATGAACGCTTCAATGAAGCATGATCTCACTTGACACATTCTGAAGCCTCAAAATATTATCTCATATATTTCATATAGTTGGTTGGAGAAGAAATCTTGATGGAATTCTTGATGCAAATTATTTCGTCTGATGCAGGAGCTTTTAAGCAGTACTGATATTTCCCTATGCCTATGGTCTCCTTTCTGGATTCCAATCCCTATCAAACAGTGGTTCGAGGACTTCTCCCTATTTGATTTACATTGGAAATTTAAAGGCGTACAATTGCGGCATCTCAAACCCCGTAAGCAAATCCTCAGCGGGCTCTACGTTCACGCGCGCCAGTCATCTCATTCAGAGCGCTGTAAAGTTCTCGTGTATTCCCTCAACTTGTTGTATCCATGTGAGATGAAGTCCTTTGTGTGGCAAGGGGGCTTATTTGTATCGACCTTTCTCGTTTTCGAGTCACTACTCATCGATGGATTATGGCTTACGGACAGCATGACATGTATAATTTAAACTGTTATAATGCATCCTAAATTGTCACAAATTTGACTCGATAAGTGAGTAAGAGTAGTGAAGAAGATAGTGCAAGTAGGCCAGATAGGGTTTTGACAAATATTCTATTTTCTGTTCTATTTTTCCTTTTGTACTTCAATCTTCCTATTTACTCAAATAACTTTAAATCACTTATAGCCGGTGTCATCACAGTGTTATCTATTGTACAGAACATAGAAGCTCTTTTACCCTATCCACATATATTATATAGAAAAGCTCAATAGAATACATTCGCATATAGTAACCATTTTTTTATTTGGCAAACTATAACTCGACAACTTTACTTGTATTAGCCTCATCAATTGTCCTTCCAGTATCGATATACATAAACCCAAAGGCTACTTACATTGAACTCCGGGATTGTCAAAGGGGTTATTAGCGATAAAAATGATTACATCAAAGACATGAATACAAAAACTGTATACCAAACTATCAATACTTATTCTATAAACAACTCGGACGTTTAGGAGTAGAGACTACAATATTTAGCTAGGACTAGCAGAAGCAATAGTAATGGAAAATCGCAATGACTGTAAGCAAACCAATAAATAAGAAAATATTGATTCAAAGAGGAAAATTGCTGAGGCTAAGGAATTGGAATCAATATCATCACCGCAGGTCCACCTACTTCTGTGTACATCTAAAGCCTAGCTTGCTTGTTTGTGTATCCATTTTAGGACGTCGTCACTCCTTCCAACCTAGAGGTGGATGCGCTCAGCTGAAATTGCTCCATAGCTGGCTGTATGGTACACTTCTATGTCTAGACAAATGCCAGCCACTTATCTTCAGTATGCAGAATCTTGAAATCGAAAACGTCCGAGACTGAGACTTATGACATCGCGCTTTGAATAGTTGTCGACATTCGGTCATCGGAGACGCCTAGACAAAGCACTTACAGACCAGAGTTCCGGACCTAATCTAATCGATCTGCTTAAGCATGAGGACAATGAGACCGGGCCTAATAAATCGAGTCTCTTCTTCATACTTGTAGAGAGACTCAACACTAAGAATCCTCGTGCCTGTACTCTGTTCGATCAAACCTTTTGCTATGTTAGTGGGGGTTGACGCATCAAGACAGTACAGTGTAGACTAGAGTTCTGAATAGCTCAGATGCATCTTACCAATATTTTTAGTCAGATGAGAACTCATCAAAGCTTTGGATATCAGCATAGACCCTTCAGACCAAAGGTATGCAAACTAAAATTTCCCAAATTGGGCTAAGGGTTGTGTGGAAAAAGGAGTTCAGCACTGATCAGATCCGGTTCAAGGTGCTGTCCAGTAGAACTTCTTTACTATTTGAGAATAGATTCAGATTCGTGAAGTACAGTACAGTATATGAAGACAGATCGGGTAAGACTGTGCGAGATCTTCTGGTATTCTGGTATACCGGTTCCAAAACCCATCGCAGGTAAAATATAATTGGAAATGCTCGAAAAGGTGGGATTGTAGAAACGCGTCATCCCGATTCCTGATTTCCTAAAAAGAATATGGATAATGGGTGAGAGCTTTTTATCCCAACATATTTTGCAGGTTACATTCGTTCAAGTCCAAGTCCAAGTTCATTCCAGGTGAGAAGAAGCACAAGGTCGAAACTTACAATACATACCTACAGGTCAAAGTTGGTCACATGAAATGGTCTGCGGCCAGATGGATTTCGAATTTCAGTTTCTGAGCAGGGTGAGGGATTCGAATTCCTTGTTATACGTTGCTGCTTTGTGTATGAGGGCCGTGGGATCAGTTGGCCTGGATAGATTTGCTGTTGGCCGTGGCTAAGTGGTATGGCTATGGCTATGGCTATGGCTATGTAAGGCTAATAATGTCGGAAAGATTCATTGATGTCAGGATCATGTTTCTTTCTTGTTATCGTATCTGTTACTGGTGGAGATGGCATTTAGATTATGCCAAGACTCAATATCTGAGGATTGGGGGCATGTTGAAAGGGATGTCCGGTAATGGCAGTATGGATTTGGTTCATGGATGTTTACGGATGTATTAAATATCGTACTGTAGATGGAGAAGATTTGCTCAAGTAATGTAGTTTATTAATGTGAAGATATCATACATGTGATAATCGATAGTAAGAAGGAAAACGAAACAATAACAGAAACAAATCCCAAAACGAACGATTCCGAAATCGAGAACCCCCATGGACAACCAGTCTACTCTCATCTCTCTATTCCATCCTCTATCAATTCTCACGATCTCGAAGATGCATAGCCTGCTGTATGGTCATAAGGTTGATAAGCCTGATTTTGTCCTGGATATGGTGCGTCTGGGAAAGGTAAATCCTGTGGTGGTATACTACCATAGCCGTTGTTAGGATCAGGTGGATACCTTGGTGTTTCTCGAAGCTGCTCCATGCTCTGGTGAATATCATGACCATTCCTATGTCTCGATCCGTAATCTGAGCCTGAGCTTGAGCCTGACCGACTAGATCTGGTAGAAGGTTTGGAAGAGACGGAACTTCTAGACGAGCCGGAGCTTCTAGAAGAGCCGGAGCTTGAGAAACGACTGGGCCTCGAGAATATCGTAGATCCACGAGACCTAGTGTCATCATCATCACCAGAGTCGTCTTCGTCGTCGTATCTACTGGATTTTCTATCGTAAGAATGAGATGAGCTACCGTGTCGTCTTCCACGACTGGAGCCAGGAGAAAAATCAGCGTTTGAAGCAGTTTCCCATGAGCCCGTAGATCCAGCATCGCTATGTGAGGATCGTCTCATTCGCTCATGCCTTTTGTGACTTCTGTTCTCGTTGTTGCTTAGCTGTATTCCGAAACCTCTCGCAATTTTGGAATCATTGATTCGACCGAAAGTTTCATCTCGTTTGACCTCCCGTCTCTCATGTCTGACTTCCCTATTCGTTCTCACCCGTTCGGTCTTTCTGACTCCAGACTTTATGAATGGAGCCTGGTGAGAATCACGTTTATGTTCGAGGATTTCTAGTTTGTGTTGATGAACTAACAGGCTTCCGTTCCTTAATGCCGCTTCGAGGACGGCACTTATATAGTCAAGCTTCTTGAAGCGTTGCCCCTTGGTTCTTATCATTTCCTTCGTCCGTTCATAAGATGTCTCAACTGTTTCCAAGAAAGTTCTCATTTTCCCTGGGGTTGTTTTGCCGAGTCGATGCGACTGTGAATTACCTCCGTAGATAAGCTCATGTCTACCGTCTCTCTGACCATTGTTGTTGTTTCTCTCTGGTTCTACTTCAAATTCGATTGAGTAACTCTTGAATCTCTTATACCCATCATGAGTACCGATATCGAGTGTGACAGATTGCTTCATGATGCCTGGTATGAGAGTGCACTCGCTGGCGTAGACACTATAACTTATATTTTCCCTTTTTTCTTCATTTGGCCTCCTTGAATAGTTTGAGAATTATTAGCGAACGTATCGTTTGAGCGTATGCAGGAAAGAAATGACGAACGGGCAATACTTCATAAACTTGTACCTGGGTCTCATGATTGATTCTTGAGCTGATGGTAAACCACGGTTCAACCAAGTCTAGTAGAATTTTGGCTGAGTATGTAAGGTTGCTGATGGCTTGGTTGTCGTTTCACGAGTGACGGGTGATGTGATCTCAATTTTGGAGATCGCTCCCCCCAATACCTAAAGGGCTCTTTTAAGAAACCCTTAGAAAACAATAACAGCCCTCACACCACTTGAATGACCTGCTACATACAGTTTAATGGTCTTCGCCGCTCAGACCTGTAGGTAGTGTAGGCCTGCTTTGCACTCACTGCCAATGGTCGGCGCGTATTTATGCTACGTAAGCGTCGTCGCACCGTAATCCTAACACTGGTCGTAATGTTGGAGCCTCAATAGCGAGGGGTTCCATTATCTTTGCTCCGTTTGTATACCATCAAATTATAGGAGCCGGTTGAACACACCTACTCCACACATGATGCTCTTAATCTTTGGCCACACTCGCGAACAGACATATAATGACTCAATGGGTGTCTCTTCACTAGAAGGTATGACTAGAAGATATGAAGTTACAGCGAAGCATCAGATTAATAATTACCATTTGGTATATTGATTGTCAGTACGAGTATAGCAGTAACAAATACCCCTGAATGTAACTTTAAATGAGGATTAACGCATGTGAAAAGCTATATAAGAGCGTGGATATTGGAACGACTCGGACTTTGATAGATAACCATGTCATTCAAAGTAGTGTAAAATAAAGCATTCAGACACCGGTACACAATATTATAATCCCGTGAGTGTCGCTTTGATTACTGAAGTTGTTCAGCTGAAGATTGGAGGTAAAACTTGGAGGTTGGAAGCAAAACGATCTATTGGTGGGTTGGGCAAATTTTCATATATTCACGCAATGGAGGGCTACCGGCACACCCATAGAGGTCACCACTCCTGTCAACCCAACTCCACGTCCTTTTCATCTATTACCACCAGCAAAGGGAAACTTATATTCCTTCCAAGAATGTTACTCGAATCTTCAAGGGATCTAGGCTAATTTCCTTAATCTGGCTATACTTTCTAGCCTTTGGATCTCAAAGCTTCTGGTACATGACCGCAAGCACACCAACAAACTTCGGTTCATCCGCAACAGACACAGAGTAGGAGTAAAAGGCCCAGGTCTACTAGCCACTGGTTTGAAGACCATCAAGCGGTTGAACACATCCCTTTTCCTCTTCTTTCCTTGGGACCTCGGCCGCGTACACCAACAACAACAACAACAGGAGCACACGAAGATGTGACTCCGTTAAAATATTAAAATTATGGCCATACGAATTGTGCAGAGAGTCTCAAGAATCTTAATCTACCTGATAAATTGATATAGCGGCAGAGAAATTTGACAAAAAATCTGACATATCTAAAAGTGTATGTTGAAGAAATATAGGTTGAAATCAATGAGAGCTAATTCACAACCCAAAACAGCCCTTTCGCGATCATGCCTTCAATTCATCCAGAAAAATTCAGTTCCAACAGGAAGTACGAAGTCTACACTAATACATACCCTATTGCTCCCGGTCTTGTCTTAGTCGGATGGTACATCAAAATGACAACCCTGAAAAGTAGTCTGCTCAACATACAAAACTCGGAGGACGCCACTGCAATTGAGGCCACTCAAGAACTAGTCCTAAAACGCGGTGGACAACACATTCGTATCGGTAAACATGGCATATTGTTGATGTCGGGAATACTGTACGACTATCAGAGAATGAAATCACCTACCGATGAAGACTTTGGAAGTGAAACACGCTCGAAGGACCGGCGCGTGTTGACAAAGAAGGTTGGTATTGTTAGGGGATGTCAAATTACTGATTTTAGAGAGACCTTTGAGCGTCTTCAGATATCAGAGGAGATGAAGAAAGACCATACAAAATACATCAACCTTGTCGCTCGAAATCTTATTCAGACAGGCTGTTTGGAATGGCCTCGATATTTGGCTGCCTGCAAGCGACCTTCTGTCTTCGACAGAAAGACGATAGAAACAGAGCGTGCAATTTCCCCAAAGCCTTCGCGGAGACCTCACAGTTATGACTGCTGCAAAGAATACAACGAAATACCTCCCATACAACAGGACAAGGTTCCTTCAGCAGCTCCCAAGTCACAGAAGACTACAGCCCAAATTACCCCTCAAGCTCCGGCTCCATTAACTCTAGAAAATCTCAATGTTGTTTCCGGAGGGCCCAAAACACAAATCGGTCCGCGTACTGAGAGAAGTAAACGTCCAGGTCCAGACATCGAACGCATCCACCACCACGGCGTTCAAACAATGAGCCCCACAGACGGAAACAGTGATATCGAAGCCCCACCTACTAAAAAGCCACATGCAAGAGGTGCAAGATCAATACCGTTCTATGGTGAAGACGCGGATCCTGGAACCAAGCCAAGATTTCCTTCTCCATGGTGCGATATGAATTTCGCTCACAAGCCATCGCCATCATCCGGTTATCCTCCGTCATCGGACTCTAGATTAGGGCCATCGGTAGCATCATCGACATCCAAATCTTCCCATGCAAGCTCTAGCTCCAAACTAAAAGCTAGATTTAATCTAAGTGTATTCGACCGCGATATTCATGTACTTCATGGGCCGGGGCGAACACATGATAAGTCGGCTTCTGGTGACGGCTATGAAACGGAGTTTAATATCAAAGTAAGGAGACCGAAGAAACAACCCCAACCCGCCCATACTACTGGCGTGGCGTTTTAGTCCTGTTTCGAATTGATTTTTCTTCTTTTGCTTGCCTGTACTTATTGCTTTGGAGTGTTGTCTCAGTAATGTTTGTCTCTTTTTAAGTTTTTGGCCGATGGAGTTAGAGGAATATATCACCAGGTTGAAACAATCTCGATATCAGCAACACGGTGTGACTTTGCCCACATATGCGCTTTGGTTTCCAGTATTGAGACCTCGATAAGCTTGACTGTTGCAAATCACAAACCAGAGTTTTGTGTAATAGATGCCATTCTCAAGAAGGTCAACTACAAATCCATATTTGCGTAGTATTAAAAAGCTATAAGAAGTAAGAACAGAACCCATCAAAACCATACTGCTACCAACATATCCAAATCGACCTCACTTTCATCCTCATCTCTCTCCATAGCCCAACTATCTCCACCAGTTCCATTCTTGTTTCCTACCCTAGCATCCTTATAACCCTCACGATTATCCACGGACACCCTATCCCAACCCTCCATCTCACTCTCGCTTCCCTCTACAACCCCCAGATCATCAGTTCCCTTCACATTCCCTGCGCACCATTCGCCATTCCCTTCCCCGACCCCATCATACCCTTTCCCTCAAACCAACCTACACTTAATCTCCCACCGCCTTCATAACCCCCCAATCTCCCCACCTCCCTCATTCTCTTTCCCTCTAGACCCTTTGCCTCCCTCCTCACCATGCCCACCCCATCCATCCCCATCTTCGACCAATTCCAACTACCCGGTCTTCTCTTCCCTTCCTTCTCCATCTGCATCATCCCACTCAATCTCCTCTCTCCATTCCCCATTCCTGCCGCACCTCTTGCCCCCGCCGTAAACTCTCTCTTTTCAGCCGTCTCCCCATCAATTCTAACCATTTCATCCCAGAACCCCCGTCGTTCCGATCCATCATTTGAGTTGGCCGGTTTTCGCCATGTGAACATGATATCTAGATATTGTTCAAACAACACCGGGTGGAATCCATTCAGTATGAACATCCTACCACAGAATCGAGAATCCAATGTATGCAGCACTGGATGTAAGATCGACATGGTAGAGAGAGGGGAAGATGTAAGAGGTAGGTAATGTTCAATATGCTATTTTCATGATTAAGTTTGTAATTGGAATGGCATAGAAGTGAAAGACTTACGGGTATCACACGTTCACAAGATGCCTTCATGTTCGCATTGTCGTTTTCTCCAAGGGCACCAAGTTCCATACATAGCGAATTAAGCAATGGATTTGAAAATGATCCACCCGCGGCTCCAAAAGTATAGATCTCCAATTTCGCCATCAAAGTAGGTGGTAAATCGGCGTGTAGTTGATCTAGGATATCGGAGACAATCTTGGAGCCGGTTGAGTGGGACATGATGACCACTTTACGGATACTGGGGGTCAAAAGATTCTCGCGGAGTTGCGAATAGAGAGTGCGGTGGATGGGCATGGCCATGGAGAGGAAGTGAAGGAGAAGGTCGAGAGGGAGTCCTAGGGTGCGGTTGTGAATTCCGGTTATGCGGCGGTGGAAAATGATGCTCAGACGAGTGAGATGATGCATCATCTGAGTGTAGCTATTGTCATCATTAGTACTGTACGCAAATAGATATGCATGGCTTCCTTAGGAGAGATGGTCTACTTACCTCGTGCAAGCACCATTGATGAAGATCCACTTCTCGTCCCCAAAATCTCCAACAGGCATTATACTTTCACAGGTTCTCTCGTTTCCCCTCAATCCCCACGACATTCCCATAATAGCGCCCCACATCGCTGCACAACACATCATGAACATCGCTCCAGGCATTGTCAAGAATGCCGGTATGACCATGAGCATCGCCCAACACTCCATAACACACAACACACACTGGATACCCATTTCATACATATCCCTCCCTGAGCTCTTTGGAATCGTTTGAGCTACATTAAAAGTAAAAGACCCCATCATCTGGGGAATACAGTACAAATTGCGAGAAAGTATTTGCATGGAGCTCCAGAGAGCTTCCAACGTTGAATGACGATATTGCGCGGGTGATGTCCCGCATGTAGGATCCATAATCGAAGGAATGACTGTTACTGCTGTTGGGGAGGATGATGATATCTGCGCCGGTAACACGAGTGGCGATTGGACGGCCATCATGTCTCCAATGGAGTTCAAAGAACTGCTGTTGCGTGATAACCAGGGCATAATTACTTACAGATTCAAATAGAAACAATTTCAGGAGTGACAGACTCAAAAGCAATGGAAATAAAAGAGTGTGTCGCCGTAAAAAGACTGATTGTTTGTTTTGAGGTTAAATGCTATATACTTATAGAATAACGCGTGGGAATACTTACATTCCTCAACGGGAATGTAAATATGCAAATGCGGAGTAGAATCTGGGCCAACACTCTATTGGTTAAGGACAGAGGGCAAAATAGAATCTCATTCTTCGTGAGTGATTTGAAGATCATCATAAGGTCAATGAGAAATACGGAATTTGACATCTTGGACCTCTTCAACCCCTTACTTACTTTTTGTGCTTGTGACAACTTATAAACTCCCATTCCACACCGCCATCGACCTCGAAGCTATCACCAACAGATATCTCCTGTTCAAAGATTCTGCTATCTAGCTTCAGGTCCTTTCCAATTGCCAAAACTCTTTCCCATCCCTTTTCGATATTCCATTTCCATCGAACAACTGAAAAATCATCCCCCCTCCTCATAACCCCCTGTATCCACTCACCGATTCTAATCATCATCCCATTCTCTTCACCACCAGTACCTTTAGTCTTCAGTACCCAGCTCATAAAGTAATCTCTCTTCTCCCCTTCCATCATCTCCACTTCTAGATCCTCCCACAACTCTTCATAGTCCTCTACCTTCCCCGTTTCCGGATTCACCATCGCGCCCTTTTCCAAGACCTCGTTTGTGCCCTCCACAGGATACATAAACCCCTCATCACGATCATCAGGCCCTGGATTTCGTATCTTGTTATCGATTTCATGAATCCATTGTGTATGTGCCGGCTTGATCAATATGTTTTTATCGCCATCTTTAAATGCTGCTGGGGTGCTGATTGCAGTGCCCGCGAAACCCCACTCCAGTCTCGATATTGCTTGAGGGTCGGAGGTATTGTTTGGGGGTGGATGAGATGGATCAAGAATTCGTACATCTACGTAGTGTTTATCGGCAGATGTTAGGACGAGGGTGCTGAGGGTATATGTTAGCAGGTTCGAGCTGTTGATAGCAGCTTAAAGTACTCGAGTATGCACTTTGTGTTTTCTTTTGCTGCTCTCTCCTGCAAGCAATGTTAGCAAGTTCAACGTAGGAATGTAAAAATGTCATTGATACTTGCTCCCCATTTGATATGTTTCCTAATTGATACAAAGGGTTCCGCCATGGTGTATTCTTGCCTTCAAAAATTAAAGAAGAGAGGTGATGATGGAGCAATGATAGTGGGGGTTTGGAGAAGCTCTTATCGTATTACAGGGAAGCTCCAAGTCAGTGCGACAAGTCCATAAGCTGGTCTGCCCGAAATTTTAAGTTTGGTATCTAGACCTTCTGCCGGATGCTGGCGTCGGAAATAAGAAATGCCATTACTTAGATATCAATAACTACAAGAGAAGAGAGTCGTAAACCGTGGTTCCAACAAAGCCTACCAAAAGACCAGTCCATAACGCATGATCGAAAGTGATTGATCGAATCAGATCGTAACCATCAATACTAAATCCTAGCGCAAACCAATGCGTACTGCTTAAGAACCGCTGCAAGAACGCCCATTCCAAATCCCAAGCGACACATTCTCAACTCTTTCTGATGTTCTCTCTAACAGACGCACCTGATGCACGATGCCAAATATCACCACTCCATCGCATCATGCGCTCTACCGCCTGTGTTGGAGTGAGGGCGGGCCTGACATCAAGATAGAATATTGGCTCTCCAGTGGGCTCTTCGCCCCCCGCGTAGTAGTCGATCACATATCGAACTTCCTTCTGCTGGCCATTATATTCTCTTTGGACATACCAATCGTGTCGATCAAAAGGTGGTTCAGTACTATCATCGCGTTAGACAGAAGCTTGCCATTGATAAGGAAAACAAAAGATGCATACCCATATTTTTCTGGGAAAGCCCAACCCATTACTTGGATCATCGCAGCCTTAGGTGTCATTTCCTTCGGTCTGCCCATAAATCGAACTAGTTTGGGCTGGGGCACTTCGTCTACGTTGGCACCGATGTCTGCTCCTGCCTTTGAGCCTTCCTCCCCCCTCCTACAATTCTCCCAGCCCTTCGACAGCCCTTTGCCAAATCTTCGCTCCCATTCCACGACTTCAGCCCAAGCTCCCTCATTCAGAAAATTGTGAACTGATACCATGCTTTCAACAGCAGTCGGATCTGTATCGGTAAAGCCTTTGCGCAAAAGAGCATTGTACATCTGTTGTGGCGAAGGATATTCCCAGTTCCCATTCCCGGTACCTTTAGGTATGGTGGATGGCTCTCTTTCGGTTGGCAATGCAATCGTCTGATTTTTCGCACGCTCTTGAGATAAGTCTGGGAACATGTAGTTTAGGGGGTTGTATTTAGAGTACTTGGATGTTGATTTTGGTTCTTGGGAGACATTATCAGGAGTATATGGGCAGGCGGACTCGGGCAATGGTGATAAAGATTTTGCCACAAGCTTTGGTGTATCTGCGTCAGGCTTGTGCATGGGACATGATGGCTGCGAGTAAAAGGTTAGAATCGCAATATGACTGAGCGTGATAGAGAACTATCTACTCACTGGCGGAGTGGCATTGCTATTCTTGGGAATAGTATGAGGGGCACCTCTCATACCCGTAGTCGCAACATTTGCGGGAGAATCAGCCCAGAACCATCCCATAATGTCTTGAGTGAGGATTAGAAACAATTAACTTGTGTACTTGTTTGTAGCTTTCGATGTAAAGAATTTAGATGACAAAAAACGTAAATACTCAATAGTATTAAAATAATGAAGAAATGAACGAAAGTCACTTTATTAGAATTAACTTGACGGTGATTCGAAGAAAAGAGGAAGAATGAGGAAAGAGGATAAGTTGGGGCGAATTCTGCCGCTCAATGAATTTTTTGCCAAAAACGGCGAGAAACGGTTGCTTCCGCTGTTCACCGAAATTACATGGGGTCCTTTAGTACAATTCATGACATGGAATAAAGTTCAAACGAGCAAGCAAGATGAAGAGAAATCAAATGTAAAAATTGATTCAATAATATATTTTAACATTCGATCTTCCTAAAATGATTATATATTTTCTATTAGTATGGCATTTTATGATATGAACTAAATTATATCCATTTGAGCAGCTGAAATGAAGAAGAGTTACAGTATAAATGAATCCTGACGTCACTCTATCAGAACTTCATTGGCGATTCTGCTGATGCCATGAAGGGACGCCTGGATTATACTCTAACCCCGTTAACAATAAAACATCGATGAAGCAGTCTCGACAGTACTCGAGTACGAAAACAAACTAATCTTCACACGAAAGGGAGATAAGTATGTTTTTGGCCACAGGTCGAACATGTCTTTGTCAACCCTTTTCAAGATTACGACCTGCAATTCAATATCGAAATATTCAACTAGCAACGAGACAATCATATAGAAATGGAGGTGGTAGAGGAAGGGGAGCGGGAGGAGGAGGGAAAGAGGGAGGTGAAAGGGGAAGTTGGCGAAAATGGCAATTTAAGTCACCTCCGCAGAATAAGGGCCTGATACTGGCAGCTGCAGCAAGCTTGAGTCCTGCTGTATTTGTCCGACTATCAGAAAAGGATAATGGTGGAACCGAGATGACTGCAGAGGCGCGAATGCTGGAGGCATCAAGGGAGGAGATTAGTAAGAAAGTTGGCGATGATGTCCATGGGCTCGAACGAGTAAAAGATTGTATAATCTATTTCTTAGACGCCTATCTATGGGAACCACTCTGCACAAGCATACGCTTCCTACACCTCGCGGTTATATTCGTTCCGGTTATAATTACTATACCTGCTGCATATTTTGGATCTAGGGATCAAGCCCGAGATGACGAGCGGACAGGTACTTTGTGGTGGTACAGGTTTTTAGTGAAGGCTATGGAACGAGCCGGGCCTGCATTCATCAAGGTACGGCATCTAATTCCCTAAAAAAATTAGATCCTTGAGACTAGTTTTTGCTGACTTTCTAGCTTGGGCAATGGGCCGCAACTAGATCAGATATCTTCCCTACGCAAATGTGCGAAATTATGTCACAACTCCATTCCAATGCACCCGCGCACTCGTTACATGCCACCAAAAGAATTATAAGCAGGGCATTTGATGGACGATCCTTTGAAGATATATTCGAAGAATTCCAGGAAGAGCCCCTGGGAGTGGGAGCTATAGCACAGGTTTACAAGGCGAAGCTGAAACCTGATTTGGCAACACCAGGAGATCCAGACATTGGAAAGCCCACCAACATACGACAGAATGTTCGTAAGAATGTTGATACACTAATGAAAAGTACACCACAACGAGTTCCATCAAGTTATGTTGCTATTAAGGTTCTCCATCCAGGGGTAGAAAGAGTCGTTAGACGAGATTTACGGATCATGTGGGTCTTTGCTTCAGCAATAAATTTGATTCCTACATTTGAGTGGCTGTCATTTCCAGATGAAGTTGAACAATTTGGACAAATGATGAGACTTCAGCTGGATCTTCGAATTGAATCTGCAAATTTATCAATCTTCCGAAAGAATTTCAAGCCAAGAACAACAGCATGGTTCCCTTTTCCCTATACTCAGTTCACCACAAGACAAGTACTGGTGGAGGAGTTTGCACAGGGTATACCATTATCTGACTTCATGGAAAATGGTGGTGGAGTATTTCAACAAGATATTGCAGATGAAGGACTAGATGCATTTCTACGCATGTTACTAATTGATAATTTTATCCATGCCGACCTCCATCCGGGTAATATTATGGTCCGCTTTTATCAGTCTGAGAAACCCAACCTACCTTTCAGCAAACACAAAGATGAAGACCCACAGTCTCAACCAGATGTCACCGAACAGGTATTGGCAAGACTTCAGCCATACCGCCACAAAAAAGATCCTCAAGCTTGGCAAGCAGAACTTTCAAAAATTGATAAAGAAGGATTCCGGCCTCAATTGATCTTCATTGACACAGGCCTGGTCACTGAACTAAATGCAACCAATCGAAGGAACTTTCTTGACCTCTTCAAAGCTGTTGCAGAGTTTGATGGCTATAAAGCAGGTCATTTGATGTGTCAAAGATGTCGCCAACCTGATGCAGTCATTGATGAAGAGATTTATTCTCTGAAAATGCAACATCTCGTCCTAGGAGTCAAGAGTCGTACATTAGCATTGGGCAACATGAAGATTGGGGATATACTAAATGAAGTTCTTTCCATGGTTCGAACCCATCATGTTCGGATGGAAGGGGATTTTGTCAATGTGGTTATTAGCATATTGTTGTTAGAAGGTATTGGAAGGAGTCTCAACCCGGATATCGATTTACTCTCTTCTGCACTGCCGATTCTACGAGAATTGGGTGCACAGAGTGGGGGTGGAATGTTACGACAAGGTGACTTCTCCATGCTGAAGGTCTGGGCAGGTTTGGAAGCTAGAAAGTTCTTGCAGGCTTCCATTGAGGATGTATGTTCCCTGTTTTCTTTGTCTCCCTTCTATGTTCAATATTCCTAACTGCACCACCTACACTACTACCCTTTCACTTATCACCAGTACCTTCTATTGCTCCAATCTCTTTAATATTCATGTCCCCTTGGTTTGTGTCTGGTGGTCGTTCATAAATGTGCCAAAATGGCATGGCTTGGCTTGTGAGTGTGGTGGCCCATGCCTCCTCGAATCCTCACTCAAGTTAGTTGTTTTGTGTGTAACATTATCTAGGCTATGCATAGATATTCTTACACCCCGCTTACTTTTTGGCATTGACTCATCCCCCTTTTTCTATCTGTATACCAACTCAACCTCTTTCATTTGTATAAGTGTCGATGTTGATGCTGAACCCCCTTTCCCATCCATTTGCCAACTAAAACGTCTACTGTCGTTCTGGTTTTGTAACCCCTTCATCTCTATTTCTCAAGGTTAGCGATAACTGTTCAAGTACTAACAATGTATAATATAGGTTGAAAGATGTGTCAAGTATGACCTGTTATCACCAAATGTATAGGATGTAAGGTAGGTAGAGTGGTTTGGATATGAGTTTTTTGCTTAGCTTTGATAGAGATTCTACTTCTGCAGTCTGTCTCACCCTGTATCATACTGTACATAATGGGTCAAGGGGCAGACAGGTGTTGGTTATTTTGTACTTTCCACTTCATCTCCAAATTAGATTTCTTGCCCTTCAGTTCAAGTTCAGATGGACTAGCCCTGTCATGTAGCCTTACCATCCCAAATCAAGGGACAGATAAGTGAAGAGTTTTTCAAAAGTAATAAGGGGTAAATTAGAGATAGTGATCAAGAGTGATCAATTTGGAGTCTTCTTGAAGTCTTTGAGAAGTAGTGGCTCTATTTAAAGAAAAAATTGATACTCCAAAGCTGCTTAAGATAGAATGTTCAATGTCGATAAAGATTGGTGATAGCAACCGGCAACAACAACACCGGGTATTGCCGATATAACAACAAGCTCTTTTGATTGACGTTTCAGTCAATGTAAACAATAGCAAGGCTCTCTATCTTCACACAACAAGTTTGCTATCTCTTCACCTTCTCACCACCATTGTGATTAATCAGGGCTAGCTTCCCTTTCACCAGTGCTCACACAGATACATTTCCTCAAATTCACCCCCTCCTATTCCTCACCTGATTATTGTAGTGATAACTTGAAGATATTCACCCTCACACTCGTCTAAAAGGAACAATTCAATATCATTTGTGTATCTTGGATAGGCCCACCTTTCTTGCTTGCCTTTGATAAATCTTTTCACCTCGGCTGCTATATAATCCCCAGATTATATCCCCACCCATCTCGGAGAGCACAATCACCATCCCTCCACATCAAAATTCATCTTCTTATCTACCAAACTCTATCTGCTGCAGGAAGAAGACCTTCATACCTCTGGAACTATTGCTGGGTATCTGGTATTGGCTCGCTTGCTGGCCAGCTCCTGGAAAGCCCTTTTCTAAAAGCCCAAATTCGGTCCTCCTCCTCCCTCCCCACCCGAAATTCAGAGCACGACTTATATTTTGCGCCCAGTACCTGTTCGCAATCGCTTTATACATGTCAAAATAATTCATCTACAAATACACAAATCGCGAGTAGCAAAGTTCAAGATGGATCGAAGACGCGAAGGAGATCGACCGCGCCAAGGCAACAGACCAACGGAGACTCGATCGCGGCGACAGAAAGACAATCCCTTTGATGACTACAATCATCTACAATCGCTTCCTTCACTGTCTTCGGACGCTCATCCTCGAGATCTTGAAGCAGGTTTCCCATCTACCTCTCGCGCCGCTCGAGTAAGTCATCACTTTACAACACCTACCTCAAAACTTGAAACCCGAGTCTACTAACGCTTCTCAAGTCTAATAGCAGGTCAATAATCATGGCCCAGGGAGCTTTTTCAAAGGGGCTTGATCACTTCAAGCAAAAGGAGTTGAGTCAAGGAAATGCGAGCGCGAATGGAGAACTTTTTCAACATTTGATTGCGCCATTTGACAGAATTGGGCAAAACTCTAGTTCAGCAAGTTCTCCAGATGAAAAGGAATCCCCAGTAACTCCGAGCAGCCAAGACCCGTCCATGTTTTCACCACGTTTGCATGGCTTTACCAGGAACCAGCTCCTGGACAGTCACTCTCGTGGGCTTAGCGGCAGTACAAATGATTTCGACTCGTTTGGTATGGAAAGTACTTATGATGATGGCTTTCATACTGCGAATGAGATACAGAACAGCCAGCAAAACCGTGGAGGTACTCCACCAAACGCGTCAGCTACACACAATGATTACTATTACCAGTCACCAAGTTATTCTATGCGCGGAGATACTCGTATGCCCAGCCCCGCTTCAGCCCAGCAGTCTTCTACGGCGCAACAGCCTCCGCCACATGGTATTCATCAAACTCCTGTTCTAATTGCCAAAGGTCCTGGGAGGAATGAAGCAGTCCAGAATTTTGGGGGATCCAGCACATTATCATTTACCAATACGATGCCTTATAGTGGAGTGCAGGCTCTAAGTAACAATGCCGATCAATTGGGTGCACTCTCTGATACTAAAGCTGATACTTTGAGCTCGAAAAAGCATAAGAAGAAGAAGGAGAAAAAGAGCAAGTTTTCTCCTAACCCGACAGCAGTTTCGGCTATCTCGGAAAATAAATTTTACTCGGGATTAAGTGATATGCATACCGGTCTCTTCCTTTCCACCTACAACGGACAACGACAATCGGTAGTTCCCCCTAAATTTGCAAAATCTAGCAGATTTCCCTCAGAGCTGCCGCCACGACCTGCTGCCCGCGAACCTCTCCCAGTCAGAGTGACAGCGGAGGCGAGGGCTCAATTCGCAGCTCGGAAGCAAGATCAAAGGTTGGCATTGGAGAGACGCCTAGCAGAACCTCATCTAGTCCGACGTTCTCTTCCTGCTAGCGATAGGTGGGGTTTTGATGGCGCATCCTTCAAGCGGCTGACATTGAATTGTTGGGTTTTAATTGGCATCACACAATTCGGATTTCTATCGACAGCCGTTTGTCTGGGGGTCGTTATCGCCATCAAGAATACAAGCAAAGTTATCAGCGTTCCTATCATCTGGTGGCTTATCCTGAGTGTACTCATATTGTGTGTTGGGGCTGCAACTTTTGCGGTTGTGTTCGTACGTGAAACTAAACAACATCGTCGTCATGGATTCAGACGACGCGTCGGAAGTCGAGAGATTATTGACGGGAATCTTGGACGCCGTGGTGATCTTGAGAGTGGTTTCAACGATCCAAGGTCCTTTGAGATGGTTTCTGGCTCACATGTCCCTCACCGGGAGGCCTTTTCGGCTTTTTCTTCAAGTGCTTCAAACACTTATACAGAGGTTCTTCGACCAAACAAGGGCAGATTCGAGCAAGGACCCGTTGATCGTCATGGATTTGAACAGGTACCTCTTCGTGGAGCCCGAGAAGGTCCTTACTATGAACCGAGAATGCATAATCCAGAGGTTGGTAACACCGGTTTTGCTGCAGCAACCCCAGCTACACCTCTAACCCCTTTGCCACAAGCTGTACTAAGACCAATCACACCACGACGAATCAATGACTTCCCGACTTACAACTGCAATCAAAGAAAGCCGAGTGTACTTCACAACGCCAATGTTCCTTCACTGGACGTACCCGAGACTCCAAGCGCAATCCCCACGCGAACATCGGCAAGAAGCCGCGAAAGTATGATAGCAGCGGCTCCTCATCGAGACCAGGCGATGAAAAGCCTCCTTGGAGAGAGCCCGGCCCCTAAGGTAAGTTTAAGTTGTTTCAGTTAATCCTGTCCTCGTAGCATCTTGTATGACTAGTACTGACTTTGATCTCTTGCAGATACCTCTTGACATCACGGACATCTATAATGGAGACCGCGTAACTATCGAGTCTGCGGCACTTTCACAAACATCAGTGTACTCGCACACGGCACCATCTCCCCATCCGCTGCATCAAGCACCAGCGGGACTACAACATCTTCAAGCTGCTGATACATTTGTATCCAGTAGTCCCAGTGTGTCTGGTATGGGTTCCAGAATTGATTTGGATATGGCGATCCCACCGACGTTGAAGCGAGTAGAGACAGAAGGCCCTCTTGAAAAGTTAGAAAGAAGTTTCAGTCACCAGAGTCAGCAGATTGCCACCGGCCAACAAGTCCCTTCACCATTTAATCTTGGTATGAGACCACCCAAAATTTTGCACAAGCGAATCGTGGACGGACTAGTTAAACAATACGGTTCACAAGATGACGATTATGAAGTTGGTCCCGCTGTAACCAGCAGTGGCAGCAATGGTCCACGCCGCAGACCCGACGCCATTGGCTATCGTGAGGTACCACAGGCAACTAATTACATGAACACCGAGAAATCATCTGCCTTGGACAACGTTGATCTAAATGAGCCTTATGATTCTACTTTCGCATCCCGAAACCCCTACCGTGACAGCATGAATGACAACGGCGACAACAGATACGCAAACCTTGAAACCTTGCCTTCTACTTACTATACTGGTAGTGGCAAAGGTAAAGGTCGAGCATATGATTAAGTCCCTATCTACATGCTCTACTTTGAACTTAGTAGTCACCTGGATTTTATTTTGGGTGGCGAACAGTCATCTCAATTTTCTACGATTCTCATAGCTTCATCCCATTCAACCAACAGTTACTTTGCTTTTTATTCGCTTCTTTTTTCTCTTGCTGTCATCTCGTTCCAGCTCCAAGATTCTCATCTCCTCTATTCATCTCTACCCTTGGCAAAGGTACAGATGAAAGACCGAGAAGAGCCCTACTTTGGAGCATCGACCGAAAATTGTTTGAATACCCCATACCCTGTACGATTACAACATACCATCTGCGGCTTTCCTTACATTCGGAGTTCTTTACATTCTGCTTCCATTTTGCGATTGGCACGAGGACTTTGGGCGGAAAATTACGACCTAGGTACGCGGATATTGATAGGAGTGATTACTAGTTGATTACCTGGTCTATTATGCACTTGCACTTTTACATTCCTTTGCAAAATATACATGGTACGATACGATACGCTACGATACGATATCTATGATACATACGATCTTTACGATTTGGTTTACACAAAACACTGGACTCGGACGATTACTAGATCGATTAGGAGACCGGAAGACACTCATTTGGAAATTTCCTGGTCTTGAATACTCTTCACGATGTGATGTGATGCGATGCCATGTGATGCGGTCTGCGGTCTGCGGTCTGCACACATGCTTCGATCTATACAAGACTTATCTCCCTCCCTCGAGAAGATTCAAGATACAGCGGCGCTTGTACAATACTACACTTACACTCATTTTAAAAATGACCTGGTCTGATCTTTACCACACACTCTTGACGAATTCCATCCTATCCTGTTCGATTCGATTCTATCCACTTTCACTCGATACGATATACGATACGATGCGACTCGATATAATACGATGCGATGCAGACTCCCCAAGAAATACCAAGACACAGCGGCTCACATCACACCACACTCAAAAGTGAATAATGATAATAATAATAAGCTAGAACCGGTTTTCGGCATGTATAACTGTCCTTACAGATTTGGTTTTGGTGCACACACGCACGCACGCACATACATACATTCATTCATTCATTCATTGTACTGCACTTACATACACAACTGCACTCCCAAAAGCCCAAAGACACCAAGGAAAGAACAGAGAAACGACTCATATAATACGGTGGTTGCTACCTAGCAGCAAGATGAGTTTCAGGATCAATAGTTTCTTCGAGGGATTTCTTTACATTTTCTTCTTCTTTCTCTTCTTCCTTCTTCCTCCTCTTTCTTGTCACTCCTTTTCATTTCCTTAAAAAAAGCGTTAATGTGGTAGCGGGGCAGGGCATGAAGTTTGTTAAATTGCAGAAAAGAAAAAAGGAAATCTAAGGGATGGAGAGATAGTTGGGGTTTTTCCTGTGCTGGCTGTGGGCCTGCGGCCGAGAGGAATTTCTTTAAAACTGTTTCTGTTTCGAGGGACTTCTTTTCGTGGTTTCCTGAGTGGCTTTTTTTAATTAGTTATTTGGAGAGAATTGAAGACGCCTTTGGGTTTCCGTTATTTTGATGTGCTGTGCTGTGCCTGTGATATGCTGTGAGTGCGGGGTGATGTGATCGATGCTTCTGATTGTGACGTTGATGGTGATGGTATGATGATGGTTTAGTGATGGCATAGTGATGGTATGATGAGGGTATGGTGATGATCAAGATGCGATATCATACTAAGGAATTAAATAAAAGTTGACAAGATAGATTGAAAGATCAGTAGGTCATTATGTAGGTATCCGACAAAAGAGATTCATCCATGACTAAATACAGGGAATAGAAAACTAAGCATGACTCCTTTTCTTGTTATCTCTATGCCTTTGTTCCTTTGCAACAGCCTTTCTCCGCTTCTTCCACCCTCTCGTATTCTCTCCTCTGTGCTCATAAAACCATTTCTGAAAATCGCCCTCCGGCACCTCCTCTGATTCCTTTTCCTTGAATATAAGTTTTCCACCCGCATACTCTTTCGGTGTTGGGGAATTGCCTTCATCATCATCATCATCCTCGTTCCCTCCTGGCCATATGAATTTCTTGTTGATATGAGCGGTATCGGGCGTTGGTGCTGCACTTCGCAGGCCTCGATGTTCAAAATCGCGTTGGGTAAAGGGTGTTAGGGGGATTTGGTTGGGTTCCTCGCCAATGTCGGAGTCCTCATCATCAGCACCAAAGAAACTGAAGGAGGCTGGTTTGGGTTCAGGTTTGGGCTCGTCGGAGTTGGTGTCAGCATTAGGTTTGAGACGTTTGTAAAGCGCTTCAAGGGGATGGACCTCTGTGGGGATGGAGGTTGCATGAGCGGCGGGGGAGGGTATCTTGATACTCAGGCCAGAGGATGACTGAGGTCGGACTGTTTTGATTTCGAGGGATATAGCTGATGGTGTGGATGTTAAGGGATTGTCGGGAGAGGCTGCGATAGACGATGTATCTTCGTCTTCTGAGTCATCGTCAGAGGAATCTGACGATTCAGAATCTGATGATGATGCACCATCCTCTGATTCAGCTTCATCTTTAGAGACTTCTGGCTGGTTCAATTTGACGACATGTGCCACTACTTCCTCCGATGAGCTTTCTCTATCTTGGGAACTCTCTGTCTTAGTTGGAACCTCGATCATTTTGACTGCTTCTGCCATTACGAAGTCTTCAGATACTGATTGTGGTTTGATATACTCGTCTTCATCGGCAGAACTCTCCGAGTCCGATGAGCTGCTGCTTTCGACTTCTGCTGCCTGCTTCACTTTCTTCGTCGCTCGATCCTCGAAATCAGATTCATCTGAAGAGTTGTCTTGCTCTGAAGTACTACCACTATTTTTGTCCATTGCATCATCCTGAGCTGCCTTCTCGACCTTTTGTGGTTCCTGGCTCATCCGTACCTTTTTCACCACTTCTTCCACTACATTACCATCTTCATTTACCCATCCCTTCCCATCCACAAACTCCACTGTAGTCTTCACCTTTGTACCTTCAGCACTACTTCTTAAAAAGGTAGCATATTTCGTACTCTTAGCAAATTCATGCACGATAGTACCTCTACCCTTCTTACTTTTCCTACTCGATTTCTCACCCCCTGCAACCTGTGTATGTGCAGCAACGTTCGGCGGTAAAACTGTCTTGAACAGGCACTCCTCATTTGTAGTATATTTCGACTTCACAACATTCTTAAACTCCTTTGATTCCTTCTTGGCCTTGCTCATATCCGCAGCAGTTGTAGTCCAACCTCTCTTAACTTTCCTATCCACAATAACTGCAGCAGGGATAGTTTCCTTCCCCCGTTTACGTTTTTTGCTTGGATCTTCCTTCTCTCTCTGTCGTTTGGGCGTTTCTTCTGGCTCGTCTGTTGGGCTCAAATCTTTTGCTGGCCTGGCTGTTTCGATGCGAATTTTTGAACCTTTCAATATAGAGCCCTGGAGCTTCTTTTTCAACTTATCGGCGTCCATGGTAGGAAGGTCGACGAAGCCGTATGCTTTATCCGGGAAGGTGTCGAGGGTGTGGTAGGAGATGTTCTTCGCATTGGGGAGCATTGATGGAGGTATTATGGTGGTAAGGAGGTTGGGGTTGAGTGGGGTTATGTGTAACCTTACGAACTCGGAGGTTGAAGACATCTATGGTCGTACCTAGATTGGAGGCAATACCGTGAGAGTTACTGGTTATGAATATCTCTACATGAAAGGGATGTATGGTCTCTAAAAAAAAACAGGGAGCTTGGAGAAATTCATTGATAGCTAGAGGCGCGCTAAGATAAGAGAGAAGGATCTGACCCACTGCGCATCATGTGATCTCGCACTAATCAGAAAGAAAGGAGTGGTTCTCAAGTACACAAGTACTCTATATTAAAATCCTTTGCATCAAACATCAGTGAAGACTTAAAGCTACAAACCAAACCGAGTGTACTACCAAGGATATGCACGAGATCCCAAGATCGGTTGTGATTATGCACGCAATCCAGGGAGCCTGGACTGTTTTGCATGGCATCAAACGGGCATAGGTTGTTGGTTGGAATTATGCACATAATCTAGGAAAACCTGTTTCCTTTGCATGGCATTTGTACGGACGGGCATTGTACGGACGGGCATTGATTCATGGTCGATATCAATCATCATTCAGTGTACCTGCACTGCCACCCGTTTTGGACTTTGATCGGTACTGTATGCCGAAACCACACACTCTATACCCGAATCCGAAAAGCGGTTTACCGACACCAGTCTGAAGCAATATCGGAGTGCTAATTGGCGACCGTTGAAGATCTTCTTGATAAGGGGCCGAACCTTTGGCACCTGGTCGAAGGAAGGGTCTTAACTTTGGTACTGCAGGCAATTTTGGGGTGTCAACTGGCTAGCCTTAACGATTTTCCTGTCGTTTTCCCGGCGATTTTGGCGCGTTGGGGCTCGACCTCTCTTTTGGCTTTTCGCTGGAGAGATTTCAGTGCATGTTGCTAAGAAATGTTCCAGTTTTGTCGCGCGCTTCTATTCATGTTACCTTTTGGCCAGCAAACAATTGTTATCTGGCCAGATCTAGATTAAACATTCCTTTGATCTTATTAGTATATATCGTTTGAACATACACAACAAAAATAGAAAGATACTACAAAATAATATAATCAGATTAGAAAGTTGTCTTTTGTTCTTTTATTATTAATGTTAAAGTCATTATTTCTGTATCTACTGCCTTGATTGGACCTTTTTTCCCAGGTTGTTGCCCCAGAACTGATCCTATAAATATTGTGATATTAGTCCGTACCATTTACCTAAGCTTTCTCTGAATTCTCTGATACACTTTGACATCTTTGAAATGTTAGGTTCTGATAGAGATTCGAGAATGGGTGACTTCGTCCTCATCCTTATCCTCTCTTACTTTTCCTTTCCCATTCAATTTCCTATTCCCAATTCCTTTCTTTTTTTTCTTTGCCAGGATGCTTCTTTGTTTGATTAAAATCTCGGAGGTGGATTAGGCCCACAATTCTCTATCTAAGTCCGTGGGAAAATACCAGTTTGTTTATCTCCTGAAATATCAATATATTCTCCGAAATATCAATGGTTATCTAATTCTTTAGTTACTGTAATGATCTGCTCAAATGCGAAGTTGAGATTTTTTTTTCCATATTGAGAAAAGCCAAAAATAGCCTTTACCTTAAACGGCGCTTCTTCTTACCCTCCCCCTCTTCCTCCTCTTCTCCTTCATGTACACCCCCCTCTTCCTCTCCCTTACTTTCATCGTTTATTTGATCTTCCTCTCCCTCTTTCTCCTTTGCTTGCTCTTCATCTCTCTCGTCGTCACCTCTGTCTTTCTCCTCTGCCTACTCTTCTTTTTCCTTTCTCCTATCTTCATTTTTCTCGCTGTCCCCGTCCCCTTCTCTTTTCATCTTCATTTTCTTTCCTTTTGATATTTTCCCTAAATTTCTATTTATAATTTGTAACCATTTGTCTTCTGTTTTTGATATCTCGATTACCCCAAGGTTTTTATATTTTTTTCTAGATACCTTGTCTCAAATACTTGAAGTATTTTATCATTTCTTTGTTTTGGTTACAAAGAATATCTATAATAACTTTGTAACTCTTTATATTGAAAATTTTATTTTATCTGATTATTTCATTTCGATATAGTATCTATACAATAGCAAATGAATAACTATCAAAAAACCTAGATTTCTGTTAAAAGTTTAACTTATTCTTATTGTGACCAAAAGGGTATAAACAGGACTCCGATTGTGTACTTAGAATCTACAAGTGAAGAGCTATGTAGGATGCTAAAAGGAGGACTATATATACAGGTATTGGGAGCCATAAGGGCTAGGCCCAAAAGGGTGAAAGAGACCTAGAGATAAGCATCGTACGATGCCTAGGTCTAAAGCTGTAAAGCTAGAGCTCTAAGCTGTGAAGGGAAGGTCCAAAAGAGCCGTCATATCATACTACATATGTAATATGAGCCAGTGGGCGGAAGAGAGCCGTCTGTTCCGTCACACTTATAAATATTTATATTTGTATAATAAATATCTTTTATTTCGTTATAAGTATTTTTCAAATATAAATTCTCCAATTCTAGAATACGAAATAGTTTATCAAAACTGTATCAAACCTTATAGGCTTCCTTTTTATTTTTTTGTTTTCCTTTTCGATATTTTTATTGATATTTTTCACTTTCTTTCTCATTTTCAATATATTTAAGATATATTTGTTATAAGCATTTATAACTTCTTCTGGGGTCAATAATTCGAGATCAATCCAATTAACTAGTTTTTGCTATCTAATATTTTGCTTCTGCTGATGAGAAACAGCTAAATAATATCATTTCTTTTATATCTCCTAATCTCCGGAATTTAATTTGTGGATTTAGTTGTAATCTTGATTATTACTAAGTTCAGATCTTAATAGTTTTTTTGATAAGATAGATAATCGCGAAGCAGTCTGATTATTATCAGTTTTACTTCTATCTTTGTATAGATCTATAATTAATGATATTATAAAGCTTTTAGTTTAATATTATTAATTGTCTCTTGAATCTAGGATAACCAAAGAATATAAACATCTTTAACTTATAAAAAAGGATCTTCTGTAAAACCACAATCGAAATCCGGGATTCCGTTTTTGTATAATCTGAGAACAGTTCCCGGAACTACTTTGTCAAATATTCATATAATCTAAATATTATAGTGATTTCTATAATATAGATAA